CTGTGACAGCTTATACTAGTCCAGGCTTTCGCTTCAATAGTGCTCGTCCACTGAGATACCATGCCGCAGTATAACCCACTCGTACACGTTACTCTGACTCCGAGCTGACCAGTCCTTATTTTATCCCCTTAATACCGAGCGCCAGACAGAGTAACAACAAGTACCATCATTTGACGTCTTTTTGGAAAAAGTAGCCAGGGGATCGAACCACCGACCCTCTACGAGTGCGTGTGTGTATGTGTGTGACTGCTTGTACTAATCTGGACCCGTGAAGATCCGGGGTACAATAGGTCTTCAACAACCAATGCTTGCCGTAACAGGCGACTGTGCTTGTCGTAAGAGGCGACTAACGGGATCGTGTGGTCAGGCTCGCTGACTTGGTTTGAAGCATGTCATCGATCCCAATTGCGTGGATCGATGCTCATGATATCAATCACGATTGTCTGGTCCAGACTCGATTATTTACAGACCGCCGTCATATAGCTTGAATATTGCTGAGTGCGGCATTAAACAACAAACAAACAAAAACAAAATTGTACTAATCCGGACTAATGTCTTTGAAGGAAAGGTCTGACATTAGGATATGAATTATACCTTTCAATTCAGCAAGACTCCTCAACGTACACGTTACATAATTTTATTTCGTCAGTATACACAGAAAACCCCGACTTCCTGACTGAGGAAGAATGTGACCACTTCCGGTTTCTGGCTGTCAACTGGGGTTTGGAGCCATGAAGACTGACGTCAAACTGAAAAAAAATGACTGCACTTTTTCGATCCCGACAATGATAGAATACTGACTATTAAAGATGTAAGTAAACACGTCATTGCTAGTTACTGATCTGTGATGTATTGGTTTAGCTCACAGACCATAGAGCATAATTGTTGTATATGTAGCGGCAATAAAATTTCCAAGTACCGTGATGGGAATCGAACTACGGACCTTCTGATCCGAGGTCGGACGCCTTGTCCACATGACCAAAGAGGATAACCCCGTCAGCAAGCTGACAAGGGAAGGATATCATCTGTGGGATGACTCCACGCCCTGCTACATATACTTTATACATAACTTTATTTCGGAGACTATATGTTGATATATTTTCCTATTTAGATGCGAATGATCATTGAGTGAGTGAGTGAGTTGGGTTTAACGCCGCTTTTAACAGTATTCAAGTTATATCACGGCGTGTCAGCTTAATGTGGGAGGAAAGCCCGAAGTGATGAAGGTCTCAGACGTTTACCACTTTGGTGAAACCCACAAGCACGGGTATGGTGCTGACAAACCTAGAAACATAATCAGGGCGAACCGGGATTCGAACCCTCAATCATAGGTCTCTGGCGTGTCCAAGGGACGCAACTCCGCACAGCGAATCGCGGCGCTTTAGACGACTGCGCCACCCGTGCCCCCGAATGATCATTGAGAATGCGTCAGATGTTTACCCAGTAGTGTATGCGAACTCAAGCTATCATCCAAAGCATTGCATACGAAAAACATGCTGCAAATAATGGAATATAAATAATTAATGCTCCAGAATGTCAAGATGACAGTGATAGCTTCCGACTTGGTTTTTAATATAGAAACAATAATTCTTCATTGTAGTTTATTATACACCGGAAAACAGATGGATTTTAACATTGAATAGTGTGTGTGTCACAACGGGTTTGCAAATAAAGATTCTGCCTGTTTCATGTTTTTCTTTCTCTAAAATCGCAAAGTAAATACAAACATTCCGAAACGCTTGATAGAGCGCCTGTCCGGACACCGCCTCCGTGGTGTAGTGGTAGAGCGCCTGCCCGGAGACCGTCTCCGTGGTGTAGTGGTAGAGCGCCTGCCTGGAGACCGCCTCCGTAGTGTAGTGGTAGAGCGCCTGCCTGGAGACCGCCTCCGTGGTGTAGTGGTAGAGCGCCTGCCCAGTGACCGTCTCCGTGGCGTAATGGATAGAGCGCCTGCCCGGAGACCGCCTCCGTAGTGTAGTGGTAGAGCGCCTGCCTGGAGACCGCCTCCGTGGTGTAGTGGTAGAGCGCCTCCCCGGAGAGAGCCTCCTTATACAGTGGATAGAGCGTCTGCTCGATGATGGGAAGGTCGGTGGTTCGACACATGGCCGCCTCGTACCAAAAGCGTTAAAAGATGGCACTTGTTGTTACCCTGCCTGACGCTTGGCATTAAGTGGGATGCACGTCGCTATATAAGTGCAATAATCTTGTACGCGACGTTTAACCCCATTTCACATAAATGTGCACACATATCAGATTCGTCAATTGTTAAATGTGTTTATCCGGATGGTTAATTTATTGGTTTCACACCCCACTCAGCAATATGACGTTCTGTAAATACTCGAGTCTTGACAATAGACAACCGAGTTAGTGAGTGAGTGTGTGATTGAGTGAGTGAGGGAGAGAGGGGGCTCGGGTATGATGTTCAAAAACCACAGGTCATAATCGGAGCGAATCTTGATTTCGAATCGTGGTATTTTCGAATTCATGTATTCCCTCGCTCTTGGTCGGGAAATACAAAACTTCTGACACTCGTTTCGTAAAATCAGTATTAGGACAGACATGCTCGTATAATAATCTATGTATAGCGCTATTACAAAAGTACAACGTTCGGCTTTGCATTATTCTCTTGACGTCATTTGACGTATGACGTCATTAGACTGTGCTCGTGAGTCATTCACTCAGCACCTCCTGACGTTTACAAACAAACACGTGAGACAGACAGAAGATAATGACCGTATACATGAACTTTTGTATGCATGTACAGTATCAAATGTGTTTCAATTAATCAAAACCTTTTTCATCAGTGGATTACATTTCTGCTTTTATCGAAATAGGCTCATGGTAAGTTTTCGTATAAATACGGTAGTGAGTTTTTAATGTGGAGGAGTATAAATATATTCAAAGGCCCATGCATGTAACAAGAGAGAAAACAAGAGATGTTGGAGTAAACGACCACTTAGAGTTTTGGAAATACTTAGATAAAAGTCAATTTTAATCGGGCTAAAAATATGAAATACGACTTTAAAATGACTGTTTACACACATAAATATATCATTTAGAAACAGAAGGAGGTTGACGCTCAAATACCGGAAGGAAAGATTGTATTTATTTCCTCCTAATTAAATGAGGACAAACGCTACAAGCATTTTAACCATAGAATAATTGTTTGTGTTAATTTTGGGATGAGCTTGGTGAAAATCGCCAGCAACTATAGGGTGGTGGAATCCTATTTGGGTACCAACTGTCGCAATTCTTGACATTCTATTTGAATTTTGGAACGGATATCTTTCTATATTTATTATTATTGATATGATGTATTATATATATGCCATCTGTGTGGACGCACTAAAATGGGTAGTCTTGTGGATAAAGCATTGCTTTGGCACCCCAAGGATCCGGGTTCGATTCCCTATTCACGGACAATCTGTCTGAAGTCATTTCCTAGCTGTGATATAGTATGAATATTGATACAAACGGCGTAAAACAAAACTCGCTCACTCCAGTGTACCACGGGAGTGAATACCGTTATTCTGCAAACTCTACTTAGACATATGAATTGTACGTTATCGATGCCCCATCATGCCGTGTTCGCTGACACTGAAATTGTTTTGGTCTTTTGTTGTTGTTTAACGCCGCATTCAGCAATATTCCAGCTATATGACGGCGGTCTGGAAATAATCAAGTCTGGACCAGACAATCCAGTGATTGACATCATAAGCATCGATCCACGCAATTGTGATACGATGACATGCATCAACCAAGTCAGCAAGCCTGACCATCCGATCCCGTTTGTCGCCTCTTACTACAAGCATAGTCACCTGTCACTGAAATAATCCATAGATTATAGACTACAGGGACAATAATTATCTTTGCCATATCGTAACTAGATTTTTACACATCGGGTTAAAAACAACAGAGTTCATAAACATCGTGCAAATATCACTTCACGCGCACTGATGTATTGTTTAAGTCACGTGGACGGCATTGTTGACGTCATTCGAACCTTATTGTGACGTAAGGTCGAAATGACGTCGCACTAGAAGCGACGTCATAGCTTAAATTGTGGTTTTCTAAGCCCGTCATGATCAGTGCATTTTTCAAAAGTGGAAGCTCTAAAGGATTACGAAATAATTGGTAATAAATAAATTATTACACTCGCATGTGTGTCATACTCGTGTAAGGATTCATGTATTACCCTCGCTCGCTCTCGGTCGGGAAATACAAAAATTCTGATACTCGTTTCGTAAAATCAGTATGACACACATGCTCTTATATAATCTATGTATACTGCTATCAGAAAAGTACAACTTTGCGGCTTTGCATTGTTTTATTGACGTCATTTGACGTATGACGTCATTAGACTGTGCTCGTGTGTTCAGGATATGTATCGCCGTTGCAAAAAGAATTTTATCTTAATTGGCCACGATGGTCTTTTTCTACATCTACTCAGAATGTGTAAGAAAGAAGTGACATCACTATGGAATAATTGATGCTCATCCGACAACGGAATCGAAATAAATCAACTAAAGTATGTGTAAATATATATTTTATATTGCCATGGCGAATCTTCCAAATGTTAAGACTAGTGTTTAAATTATTAACACGTCTACATCGTGAATAGCCTTGACATACAGGCTTCTAATCCTTTTTTCGTGCGCTTTTAAACCATCATATAGCGACACCTACTATCGATTGTGTTACAATATTGAATACAATACCCCATAGCCAATACCACACCATTGATCCATCACGCATGCAAAATCACAAATGCCGTAAAAATATCATGATAAAACCACTCTCCCATATATACAACGTGATTGTAATTGGATACGTTTGATCCTATGTTTAAAAAATTGCGAGCCAACTTCAAAGACAATATCTCTTAAAGCAAACTTTGGCAGTTCCACAACACAGGTTTAAATAACGTGCTCGTACATGATAGAATAAATATAAGCTATTGATTTATTTTGTTTACGATTATATTGCCAAGCAACGATAAACATGGACAGCTTACTAACGTTACCGAAACTTTCGAATCGAGTAAACTATTTATAAAACAGTTTAATCAAACGTAAACCGATAATAGCGATAGGAACAACGAGTTGTTGTTTTACTCAGCGCGAGAGCTCGCCACGTGTGATAGTGGATAACACACCCGGAACTCGGCTAATACAGTAATAGCCATGGCGCGACTCAGGCATCGGTTGCATGCGGTTGTTGCGGTCATTTTGACCCTCCCGGGCAATTGCTGGGGGTCTGAGGGCGCGTGCAGGCAGACCGACGAGGGGGTGAAGTGTGATAGTGAGGAGGGGTACCGACTCACCCGTCTGGACGGAGGCAAGGTGAGCGGCGCTAGTTGTTTACGTTTCATCGACAGCGTTTCCATATTGCGTTGGATGTCTAAACGCAAATGTGTGACTGGATGTAACAAAGCTCTCTTCTTGATGTATGTATTGCCATGCATTGTGGACATATACGAAGCGGCGTATCTGACAACCGATACACGATTTATAATCAGTGATACTGGTTGTGATATGCAATTAAAGACATGTATTTACCAATACAGTTTGATTCAACAATAAGCAGCTGATAAGTACTAAATAATCAGGGTCATTTGAAAGTCCGCTATAAAACGAGTAACTGACGTAATATTAAATCAATAATTTAACATCGTGTCAAGACCCCAGATTAGTATTTTATCAAATGTGGGAAGTATTTATGTCATGGATAACGCCGGAAACGTAGAATTTCGTTGAATTTCAGAGTTTTAAACCGAATTATAATGGGTCTTCTCACAGAAGTGCTATGGTTAAGTAGTATTCTTGTAAGTCTCCTTCAGAATATAATATTCACGCGGTTTGTCATGCAAGGGGTGACTTCAGATTTTGTCTGAAATTTCCATATATCCAGAGTCTGAATACAGTCCTTTGTCATGAACTGCTATAGTCTCTCCATGCACAGCTGACTATTTTATGTCACTTCACTTAATATTACAATGAGCCAACATTGCTCCTATTCACCAGTGTTAAGTGGCTTTAAGCAGATCAGTGCCCGATAAATATTGAGTCTAATATTTTGATTTGTTATAAAATATCCACGAATCCACCTAAGTATCCAAGAACAGGTACAATTTAGCTTTAGGAATAAGATTTTTTAAAAGTTTGATTTAATCAAATTTAAACATTAAGTTTGCTTGCCTGTGTCGCAATAGTCATACAGCCCATGCAAGTCTATAGTAGTTGGCAGATCTAAAGTTACTGCATTTTCAGTTTCTGAAAATGAAGAGTCTCTGTGCGCCTTTTTAATATATTTTATTAAGATAATTTAATAACTGTTTTTTTTTCTTTAATATGTTTTCATTTGAGAAACTAGATGTTAGCCTAGTGTTGCATTTGCATATGTCTTGATACAGCCAAGACTTACCTCTTTCCAATTTCTTCCCTAAATACTGATGTATTGTAGATATTCATTCCTCCACATTTCTCCATCCTGTTACCATGAATACCTGGGAGACTTCATCTTTACAGCTTTCTTTCTTCATCGCCTTACTCCTTCATCAGGTGAATAAATGCTATATCACCTACCAGCACCAATTATATGTTGGCTTCCCTTGTTAGTTTCCACCTTTGTTATCTTTTAACTTTTGCTGTTCTTACAGGTACATATATATGTTCTCTGTCTCATAGCATTTATTCACCTGATGAAGGAGTAAGTATGTATGTTGTGCTCCTCATAATAAAGAAGTTGACTTCCATAAATTCTCTTCCTTAACTTACTTGTCCACACAACATCGTTTTAGTAACACCTTCTGTACCTAAAAGCTTTTTTTATCCATACTATGCAAGGAATCATTGTGTTATGTGTAATTCATGACACATGACACAGTCTACATAGATCTAAGATTTTACATATTTGGACTAGTGTATCTCTGTTTAAACTTTCATAAATTGATGGAACCAGGCAGCAACTTGGTTTTGTCCTGTGCTACTTGGTTTAGTCTGGTGCAACTAGGTTTAGTCTGGTGCAACTAGGTTTAGTCTGGTGCAACTTGGTTTTCATGTCAACATGCACCTGGTGCAAGTTAAATCAAGTTCCTTAAATCGAGGGGGCACGGGTAGCCCAGTAGTCTAAGGCGCCGCGATTCGCTGTGCAGAGTTGTGTCCCTTGGGCATGCCAGAAACCTATGATTGTGGGTTCGAATCCCGGTTCGCCCCGATTCTGTTTCTAGGTTTGTCAGCACCATACCCGTGCTCGTGGGTTTCACCGAAGTGGTAAACGTCTGAGACCTGCATCACTTCGGGCTTTCCTCCCACATTAAGCTGACACGCCGTGATATAACTGGAATACTGTTAAAAGCGGCGTTAAACCCAACTCACTCACTCACTCCTTAAATCAAGCCCTGGAGTGGCTGGCTGGTTTTAGTGTTCTGACATTTAAATCACAAAGCTGTGTTAATGATGGGCCCAAGTATTTATCATAATTAATTGTAAACACAAGGATGATATTCATTTGGTATGTTTGTCATTTGGAACCAGTACTTTAGAACAGGCTTTGTAGAGTCATCTTTGTTGTCTTTGCAAGAGCATGTCAAGATTTTCATCAACATTGAATAGTTTCCCCCAAAATTCACACTTTGAAAGACAAGGTCTCACTGTGAGGAGGCAATCAATTATCTCACTGTTGGTCTTAGTTTTGAAATATGACCACAGAACGATCTATTGGCAAGGATTATATTGTACAAGTATACAAACAACTGAACCAATTTGATGAGAGTGTTCTCTTGAAAGCTGTATTCAGAGAGAGTATACTAGAGTTACTTCCCTTTGCAGAGAAATGTCTTGTCAAAGAAGGTTGACAAAATGTGTTTTAATGCTCTCATTAAATTAGTTTATAATATACGTTCACCATAAGTAATGTTATCATGCTGTAGTTTGAGGTTATGGATATGGCTTTTGTTACTAAAATTCCTAATTCAGGACTCCAGATATTTTTTTATCGTGATAAAAACAATACATGTATATGAGTATTTATTCACATGTACAAAATATATTGAATACTCCAAGAAAACAGTCAGTACCCAGTGTGAATGATAATGTGAAATACACAATGGTAAAAAAAATAATTAAAGGCCTGACACTTTTCTTTCTTTCTGATGTCTACAGGTGGGGGACATCAAGGAGGTGAAACTAGATGGCAGGACGGTGACCTTGAAGACTCTCAGTTTGAAACCATTGTTATTTGGTGAGGAACCTATTAAAAAAATAACATTTTTGAAAAAGACTTACCGTATTTGACGTGTTAAGTGCTCAGGGCGCTCTCAAAATTAGAAATAGGGGGCTCTTATTGGAATATTACTTTGGTGGAAAAAAAACAGTTGAAAGATAAATTTCGTGGTTTATGCTGACAGCCTGAAATGTTTATGTGCGACAGATATATTTTTCCAGAAATTAATTGCCCATAATTAAGGGTGCATATAGCACACGAGTGCGTATTATACGCGAAAAAATAAGTCTTGTGTACATTGATCAATCGGAAGGGGTGCCAATTGGGATTGTTCACTAGCCAATATATTAGCAAATATTGCCGTGGGCGCTTATTAGAGCGGGGCACTTATTACGTCGAATACGGTATATTTTTGTGACAGTTTTATTGTTTAGCAGCTGTTTTCTAAACATAAAACTTAATATGTCACAAATATATCACACCAGCCCTTAGGCAGATGAAATGGAGATTAAATTGTCAGTATGGCCGAGCGGTTTCAGTCCTTTAATCACTTGTAAAGGGCTGCCCAGCAACACTGTTGTGTTATGTGGCATTGAGATCCATTGATAAATTTCTGCTGTAAATGAGAGCACTTAGTACCATCCAAAAACAGCTTTCACTGAAACATTTTTAAAATGATGATTGCATATTAGAAAATTATATTGTTTTGAAAATAATAATAATGTATTTGCGTCTGAAAAATATGAAAGTTTGCATATACTATACAGAAGAAGTTCAGATTATTTCATATTACTATTCTTAGTCTGTCATGCCATGACAGATGAACTATTGTAATATGAAAGAATTGGGTGTTCTTAAATTCTTTTGAGTAGCATACTTTTCAGTTTATTAAACACATTCTGAGTTAATGAATTTTTGCATTTCATTCTGACTGCTTTAAGCATGGTGAGCCAATATGTTTATATCATTAGCATTACAGTTAGTTTGGTGTATATTTCTGTCTGCAGTAGACTTTTTGTCTAGTGGAAACAATTTTGCATCAGATTTCTCAAAATGTAGGTCAGTCAGGATTAATGGATTGGTCATTACAAATAAAAAAATTGAATGGTTTTTTTAGGGCGTAAAATACAAAAGAAAATGTTTCATGAGATGCATTAATTTTGCAGCAACAGTTTCTTTAATACATGTAGTATTGTTTTACCAGAGATCCCTGACTTCTTGACGGCGGAGGAATGTGACCATTTCGTGTCCCTGGCAAAGTCTGAGGGGCTGGAGAACAGTCAGACCACCACTGGGGGTGGGGCGGCACCCCCTCGCTTCCAGATCCTTGACAGCAATGGGGACAAAAAATTAACAGTTGATGAAGTAACTACAGTGTTTCAAACTGGGGAACTCTTATCTGAAATTATTGATATTTATGCTATGCATATTAATAATAACTAAACCTCCTGGGTTAGAATAGTCCTTAATGGACGACCAAGTCAATCCGGTGGTCAGGCTCGGTGGCTTGGTTGATTGCATTTCATCGTTACAGGACTACCAATTGAGTGGATCGATGCTCATGATATTAATCACTGGATTGTCTGGTCAAGACTCGATTATTTTCAGACCGCTGTCATATAGCTGGAATATTGCTGAGTGCGGCGTTAAACAACGAACAAACAAACAACAACATCATAACAGGACAATGTGGATTGATGCTTGTAATAGCAATCACTGTATTGTCTGGTCCAGACTCCATTATTTCCAGGCCAAGGTCATGTAGTTGGAATATTACTGAGTGTGGCTTCAAACAACCAGCAAACAAGTTCACACAAATTATTTGAATTGGGTAATGCTCCCTGCTTAAATCTAAATGCCAGTGCAACATATATGTGCAAAATGTTCTTGACTCTTTACCAAGAGGCTACACAGTAAACTGGTACAATGAAATTAGATGCAGAGTAAGTTAATGGTAAAAAACTGGAATTTGAATGTGTTGTATGCCGGAATATTGTGCATATTTTGTAACCAACAAATGTAACCTAGATTTTATTGTGACAGAGTTTTTTCAAAGTACATTGTTTTTAAAGTGTTTTTTGCAGGGTCATTTCTTTAAAAATCAGGCAATCCATATTTTTCTCTCGATTTGTATTATCTTTAATTGAAAAAATATGATTTAGAGGTCAAGTTAAAGGTTAAAAACATTTCCTGTAAACAAAATTTAGAATGTCATAAAATGTAGCAGCAAGTTGGAGAGAACAGACATGTAATGAAAATGTAACTAGATTTGAGATAAATGGTTGATGAACACGATTATTTCCCATTATAGATTTTTTTCTTCACAATGTTGAACATGACAGATGGATTTGTATAACGAGTCATTTAAATATGTCTGGCCTTATTGGTCTGTCAAATATCCGGGGTTGAGGGGCTATATTAAACCAGCCACAAAGAGGTAAATATGTTGTCAGAGATCAAGCAGTAAACAGTAAACAAAAATGTTGATGAAACTAAAAAAAATTCATAATAGTCACCAGGCAATTATATTCCTCTTCTCTACACCGATGTGTTTTCTGTAAAACAAATCTTGTAACAAGAAGCTAATAACTTGTCTTGGGTCTTGGAATGGAGAATTTACGAAGATTACTAACAGATTGGTCTTGAAGTTTATCAGTGGCGCTTATTGGAATGGGTCGCTTAATACAGCGAATACAGTACATTAAGTGAGTGTTTGTAAAAATGAGTGGTATAATTGCACTGTCACATTTATTTCAGATGCGGCTTACAATTGAGAATGGTTTTGACATATATCCTGACAATGAAGATGTACTGCAGTTGTAAGTCAGTCAGTCCTCTGTATCTCCATCTGCCAGCATAAAGGCAGACAAGTACACATCTTCCCGAGGCAAGGGAGGTAATTGACTGTAAAAGCCCACCACTAGACCTGATTTCTGGGCTCGATCGTAGCGCCACCAGTGGCTTCTACGACTTCTATGTCCCTCCTATTGACCAATCAGATTCAACCTCTGATATCACTTGCATTTGCTTCAAACAAAATGGCGGCACCCAGTGAAGACGATCTGATCGATAATCAAGATCTCTATTGTAATAAAACAGGTCTTATTTCGCAAAGTGCATCAGATCACATGAGCACCTTGATTAAAACATGTTCTTCAACTCTATTGACTGACAACGTAACATATTACTGTCCAAGGTCTATTTGATAATTAGTTGTGTTGACTGTGTATCAATATTTGTTTTTATTCGGTGTTGACCATTTTTCTGTTTCTGTTTAAATCCTCAGTTACGCCGATACCCAACTGGATGGCAATGGTGATGGTAAGTTTGGGAGCTGTGACCCTTAATTGTTATTTTGGGGGGTCTGAGGCATACACAGATGCGGAAGGGGATTCAGGGGTGTACAATTTTAAAGCATCCTAAACATTTATGCACCCATAATTGAGACAGTGATCAGGTGTACTAGCATTAGACACCTACCGTCATTGCTATATTAAAGGCCTGGGACACGTCCCACCTTGAGCTATATTAGCGCTAAGACTATCGTAACTCCCATACTTTAACATAGACTTATGACAATTGTAGCGCTACGATTGCTTTGTGGAATGGACCCCTCTCAGTTACGTGTTCCCTGACAAACTTCTTGATAAGGTTGAGTGAGTATGGTTTTACGCCACTTTTAGCAATATTCCAGCAATATCACAGCGGGGGACACCTGAAATCGGTTTCCCACATAGTACCCATGTGGGGAATCGAACCTGGGTCTTCTGCGTGACGAGCAAACGCTTTAACCACTAGGCTACCCGATTGCCCCATTGACAAGTTTGTAAATAATCTTTATATAATATTCTTTCAATAATGGTCAAAAAAGTTTAAACAAGCGTTTGGCACAAGCCTCAATTCTCTGTGCAGAGTTCCCTCACTTAGGTATACTAGACATCTATGATCATGGGTTTGAATTCCTATTCACTCTGATTTTTCTAGGTTTGTCAGCATTATGCCTGTGCTTGTGGGTTTCACCAAAGTGGTAAACGTCTGAGACCTGCATCACTTCAGGCTTTCCTCCCACATCTAGGTTACATGCCGTGATATAACTTGAAAACTGCTACGAGCAGCATCAAATCACTCAATCACTGTGTTGCAGGTGTGATCACACCAGATGAGATGGAGGCTTTGACCCCTGATGGGATGCAGAAATATTTGTCAGATTTCGTCAAGAAACAACCTGAAAAACACTCTCGCTTCAGCAACCAGGTCTGGCTGTACCCAGATAAATCATCAGACGCAGTGTTCAAAACAGTACAGAAGAGGTATGCCTGAGGTTTCAGTGTTTTGGAGCTTCAATTATTTCATCTTCCTGAGTTGACTGACTGTAAAAGTCCAGTTTCCACCCTTGCCGAACTATGCTGGAATTTCCAGGCTCGATTGTAGTGCCACCAGTGGCTATTACGAGTTATGTCCCTCCTATGTCCCTCCTATTGACCAATCAGATTCCACGTCCCATATCACTTGCATTTGTTTCAAATAAAATGATTAAAAACATGTAAAGATTTGGAAAATATCTGTTGATGCTAAGTTGTCGGTACACATGCTTTGCAAATTCTGCAATCCACTGACATCTGCAGTTTACAAACCGGATGTTGATTTCGTTACGCGATTTTGATTGGACTATGCTTAGATTCAATGGTCCAGCCAAAATATAACACCATACATGTTATTGCATCCTATATATATATAGTCCGGCAAGGGTGGAAACTGGACTTTCATTGTAAGTTAATTCCCTGGCCTCGGGAGGATGCAATTATTTCTACATTATATGGTCTTTTTTATCTAGTCTTTTAGGGGGCACGGGTGGCCCAGTCGTCTAAGGCGCCGCAATTCGCTGTGCACGCCAGAAACCTGTGATTGTGGGTTCAGATCCCGGTTCGCCCTGTTTTTCTAGATTTGTCAGCACCATACCCGTGCTCGTGGGTTTCACCGAAGATATAAACGTCTGAGACCTACATCACTTGGGGCTTTCCTCCAACATTAAGCTGACACGCCGTGATATAACTGGAATAATGTTAAAAGCGGCATTAAACCCAACTCACTCACTCACTCTAGTCTTGTAATTCAAGTTCCCTTATAATGGCCTACAGCATGTATGTTCATCAAATTCTATAAATTCAATAAATTAATTTGCAAATACAAAAGCAAGGAAGAAGAGACTTAATAAAGTCTAGAAGTTGAACATAATGGAAAACTCTGCTGGAAGGAATGTTGATGGGGCTCACTAGACATGTTAACAATCAGTCCTTGGTATTGCATAGCCTGTATTTAGGTCTCTATTCCCCATTTTCCCTAGGCAAGAGAGTTAACTGACTTTAAAAGTCCAGTTTCCACCTTTGCCGAACTTGGCTGGAATTCCTGGGCTCGATCGTAGCGCCACCAGTGGTTACTACCCTTATGTCCGTTCTAAGCCTCTCCTATGGACCAATCAGATTCCATCACTTGCATTTGTTTGAAACAAAATTGTGGCGCCCAGTTAAGACGATCTGATCGATAATCAAGAACTATGTTGTGATAAAATGGGTCTTTAATCGCGAAGTGCATCAAATCACGCGGGCACCTCTATCAAAAACATGAAAATGTTTGGAAAATATCTGTTAACAAAGGAGTTGGCGGTGCACATGCTTTGCAAATCCTGCAATGGACCAAAATCTGCGAGACAGTTTACGAAGCGGATTTCGATTTCGTTACGCGATTTTGATTGGACTATGCATAGACTCGTTAGTCCAGCCAAATTCTAACTCCATAAAACCAGCCTAGTTCGGCAAGGGTGGAAACTGGACTTTTATAGTCAGTTAACTCACTTGCTTCAGGAAGATGCTATTCCCTGGGGCAGGCCAGAAACATTTGACGGTGGGTTCAAGGCCCAGATTTTCCCTGCTTATGTTTCTTAGTTGTCAGCGCCATATGTGTTACGATTCCGAGTTTAATCAGCTTGTTCCTCCGTGTATATGATAAATGCATGCTGAAGTCCTAAATGTCTTGTGTCATTCTTCGTTCACTCAGCGTATGACGTCATATAAACATACGTGTATATATGTGTATATATTCTATCTATACTTGTGTTTTTGTATCAAACGTGCAGTCATCGTCACCAGAAAAGCGGAATGTTTTGATAAGTAGTGTACTCTGTGAAATCCAACATATGTCTATAGTACATATATTCAGTAAACAACCTTCAATAAACACTCATAATGCTTAACATATATTTATGTCATTCACATATTTGAAATAACAAAGGGACAAATTGTGGCACAGTACGTTTATCGGTGTGTCGAAATTTGCTGTTTTTAAGCATTACAAAATCTCATACAGTATTGGGCAGTATCATTTATTTATTACTGCGTACGTTTGTCCTTTATTTGAACTTTGTATTTTTTGATCGGATGGCCACCTATACAATCTCATTTAAATCAGATCTTATTAATTCTCGTTTCCGCTAAACATAGAGGTATGGCATGGCCTGAGAGAAATAAAGTGCCATTCTGTTCTGTTGCGAGAAATAAGATCTCAGTTTTAATGAGATTGTGTTAAACCAAACTCACTCACTTCTATTTTCATGAAACTTAATATAACAGAGTCTCCATGGTGACAGAACTTCCTGTAGAGCTGGTCCGTATGAGTGACTTTCAGGTAAGTCAAAGGGAGACAACCCATGTGCCATTTGTCCTTGAGCAGTGGGGTGAACAATAAGGATGAGACTACTGAAACAAAATTTTACACACTGATGTAACTGGTCATCTTCTCAAATGACGAAAATTGGTATCGTAAATTATTTTACAGAGTTATCGCCGTAGCTCCATTTTTTTCAACTTAGTGCATACTGTGTACAATGGGGTCAAGTTTTCTCAGAAACAACTGAAGTTGCATGAATGAAAGTTTGCATGCTTGTCTAAGAGATACATGTCAAGACAGTTTGAAAAGGTTCCCAAATTATTTGTTTACAGAGGTACAGACCTAAATCCATGTTATTTTACTTGGTGCATACTATGTGCAAGGGGAACAAGCTTTCTCAGAAGCTACTGAAGTTAGCTTATAGATAAGCTTAGAGATACTTATCAAGACTGAGCTATTTTTTTCCAGAGAAAGGTCCTTTTGTGTGTATCAATTTCACATTTAATAATTTTTTAAGCGACCCTAGAGCCTATCTCTTCTCAAGGCTTTATGGGGCTCTTTTTAATAGTTTATATTATTATATTCACTACTTTATGAACAAACAAACTTCTAATGTGCCTAATGGCTGGGGATAGTTTTCTTGTTTATTTTGAAACTGTTTGTGAATGAATACAACCACTGTAAAAGAATTTAAACCTTTAACAAGATTTCATTTGATTATCAGTTGTCAGTCATATTCGATAGTCCTGCAATACCATTGAAAACCGTCATTGATTAACAAAACAAATTAAAGAGTAACCATTTTTTAGCAATCACAGTGCCAGCAAAGTCTCCAGCCATGGGGGTTGATTATGTATCCAAGCTTGGGTTGTATCCCTTCAGGGAACTTAGCGTGAAAATCAAGTGTACTCTGATACATTGACCGGCACGATAATGTAGCACTTTGGGCGTGGATTCGGCGCATTTTAAATATGCACATTATAATTATGCACATTATAATACCATGTAAAGAACAGAAAGGCAAGATCACGGGTTCATTTGTGAGAAGGACGTACAATTAAATCTGTGATCCAACTAGTGACTTCTTACTCTACGGGACAGTACTCTTGAGAGCTACGGCCATCTGTCCTGTTACACCTTGTGTTGCTGCATACGCTGACGGGAGTGTGTTTGTACTCAGCAATATTCCAGCTATATGACGACAGTCTCGAAATATGGGCCAGACAATACAGTGATTGATATTGTGAGCAACAATCCATTGGGGTACGATGTCACGCCATTAACCACGTCACCAAGCCTGACCACCCGATCTATTTGGGTGGTCTTACAACCAGCATACGTGGCTGGGGAACAGTTCTATCCCTGAGTCTCCACAGGCTATACTGACATGGACTACAGGTACCTGACTGTGTAGAGACTATAACATAAGTCAGATTCTTGTTCTATCATGGATGTACAATACTCAAAATAAGTTCAAGAACATCCTATTCTTTCACGTTACTGTAGTAAATATGTCAAGGCATGGTGGTATGTAGTGATAACTTTTGTTTGTTTGTTGTTTAATGCCTCACTCATCAATATTCCAGCTATATGACGACAGTCTGTATATAATAGAGTCTGGACCAGACAATCCAGTGATTGACATCCTGAGCATCGCAATTGGGATACGATGACATGAATCAACCATGTCATTTGTGAAAGGACATACAAATCTGTGAACCAACTAGTGATTTCTTACTCTACAGGACAGTACTCTTGAGAGCTACGGCTATCCGACTACCCAATCCCGTTAGTCGCCTCTTACGACAAGGATAATCTCCTTTTACAGCAAGCATTGGTTGCTGAAGACCTATTTGACCCCGGATCTTCACTGGTCATATTGTTATATCATGGCATGACAGAGTTACTATAGTAATATGAAAGAATTTGATGTTCTCTAACTTCTTTTGAGTAGCATATTATGAAATTCTACGTCTGTGATGCTATTAACCATTGGTTAATTGGTTAACGTTTCAGGTTGTTCAGTATGATGTCAAAGGTCACTACAATGCACACTATGACTCCTCGAGACTGAGCTCCACTGTGCCGTGCTGTAAGCGGTTTGATAGGAAGAAGTGCCGGATATGCAGGTTAGACAAGTAATTAGTATACATGAGTGAGTCCCATGTTATCTCATATATATATGAGTGAGTCCCATGTTATCTCATATATAGACCCGTGAAGATTCTGGGGTAGAATAGGTCTTCAGCAACCCATGTTTGCCGTAAAAGGTGACTATGCTTGTCGTAAAAGGCGACGAACGGGATCGAGTGGTCAGGCTCGCTGACTTGGTAGATGCATGTCATCGATCCCAGTTGCGTTGATCGATGCACATGATATTAATCACTGGATTGTCTGGTCCAGACTGGATTATTTACAGACCGCCGTCATATAGCTGGAATATTGCTTAGTGCAGCGTTAAACAACAAACCAACCAACCAACTATGTCATATATACCACTCAATGTTTCACAGGGATACTCCTATTATTCCATAAAACAACTGATTTCTTTTAATATAACCTGATTATGTTTCTGGCTTTGTCAGCACCATACCAAAGTGGTAAACGTCTCAGACCTGCATTACTTCAGGCTTTCCTCCCACATCAAGCTGACACACCGTGATATAACTGGAATACTGTTCACAGAGGCGTAATCCCAACTCACTCACTTTTACTATTCATAACAGTTTCCATTGTTTTTTAAAAGAATTTGTTCCTGAAAATACTGGAAAAGATATTTAGAAAAAGTAATTGCTGAACATACTGGGTGCCCTGAATAAAACGTGTTTGACTTCCCCCTTCAGAGAATAGATCTTGAAATAGTGACCAAAATCATCTTCATCTCTAAAAATAAAACCAGGTCCCATCCCCCCCAAATCGTAAATGATCTCTGGAAGAGTGAGTGAGTTAAATATTAACGTCACACAGGCAATACAGTCTGTAAGAGTGATTTGTATATATCTGATATGACCCATAACTGTCCTGTTACACCTTGTGTTGCTGCATACGCTGACGCTAATATCATGTAATGAATGAATAGTGAGGCAAGATCACAGGTTCATTTGTGAAAGGAAGCACAAATCTCACTTCTTACTCTACGGGACAGTACTCTTGACAGCCACGGCCATCTGTCCTGTTACACCTTGTGTTGCTGCATACGCTGACACTAATATCATGTAATGAATGAATAGTGAGGCAAGATCACAGGTTCATTTGTGAAAGGAAGGACAAATCTGACTTCTTACTCTACGGGACAGTACTCTTGAGAGCTACGGCTATCTGTCCTGTTAGACCTTGTGTTGCTGCATACGCTGACGGGGGGGTGTTTGTACTCAGCAATATTCCAGCTACATGACGACAGTCTCTAAATATGGGCCAGACAATACAGTGATTGACTTTGTGAGCAATGATCCACACCATTTGGGTACGGTGACACACTGTGAGTGATTTGTATCCATCTGGTATGCTCCATTACAACTGTGTTGTTTCAGATACATGACAGTTCTGTTTTATCTCAATGATGTGGAGGAGGGAGGAGAAACAGCCTTCCTTGTTGCTGACAATGAAACTGTTCATGATAATGTGAGTCATTAAAGCTTCATTGATATGTCAGACTTCTACAGAATGCAGAAAACAAGCACTACAAAGATAATAGACAATATTATCACATTTTACTAAAAAAAGTTATTCATGTTTGAATTTTAGTGAATGGTATTGTCTTTATTCAAATATCTATAGATGTCGTCACATTCATTTTATTTAAATTGTATTTGGTATTCACATTATATTTGGTTCTCATGTGATATTTGGTGTTCACATAATACTTGGTATCCATATTATATTTGGTTCTCATGTGATATTTGATGTTTACGTTATATTTGGTTCTCATGTGATATTTGGTGTTCACATAATATTTGGTGTTCACATAATACTTGGTGTTCACATAATACTTGGTGTTTGCATAATACTTGGTGTTCACATAATACTTGGTGTTCACATAATACTTGGTGTTCACATAATACATGTATTTGGTGTTCACTCGAGCCTGATCTGGGTCAATCCCTAAGGATGAAATGTACAAAGTTTCTTTGACCTACTGCCAACAGTAAATCCTTCTCCAGAAAACAAACTTATTTGTAATGATATGACCAAGAGGATGACCTTGACCCTTGACATCACATATCAATGTGTCCAGTAAAAGTCCTAGTGCTATTACGGACATCTACATATGATATCCCTGAGATCTCCAAAAACAAAATGTGTCAACAATCAAATTCAAGCAAAACCTTGACACAACCTAATTTACATGGGGCTACTTAAATAGGACAATAAAAACAATATATGTTTTTACTTGAACTGTTAATCTGCCGAAAAGTTGATTTTCTCAGATGGAAAACTTGATGACCTATTTATTTACACACACACACACACACACACACACACACACCACCCCCCAACTCTAAACAATTTGACTGCAAGTCAAATGAGTACATATAGACAGATGTTCTTTGTTTTAATGTGTAAAAATGTGTGGAAAAGGTGACAATTTTCTTCCTGTCTCACAGGTAATGAGGGAGAGCAATCAGGTGAACCTCTACCGTCGTTGTGCAGACGCACGTCTGACTGTCAGACCGGGCAAGGGCAAGGCCGTCATGTGGTACAACCATTTTGTGAAGGAGGAGAACCAGTGGTTAGGGGAACAGGATGACTTTGGTATACATGGCGGCTGCGCGGTCGTGTCTGGGGAAAAGTGGATCGGCAACTTCTGGATAAAAGTAACAGATGATAAGGAAGAGGATATAAAAAGAATGTTGAAACTCAAGTATTAAATGTATAAAAGAAATATTTTTTTAAAAGATGACACTTTGAAAATAATTGCATTGTTCTTCAAACAGTACTGACATTTGTAGTTTTGCCTTGATGCGAATAGCTGCAAGATTGCTGATGCTGTGGTAAGCTTTGGTTTGTTTGTTGTTTAGCACTGGAGCAATATTCCAGCTATATGATGGCAATCTGTAAATAAAGCAAAATATTCTGATAATTTGGAGAAAAAAGACAAAGCCAGGAATTTAGATATATTTTTGACCTCGTTCCATGCATTGTCACATATAGAATCAATAAGTCATGGAGAAATCATGAGAATCTATTTCTGTCATTAGTAGCATCAACAGATTTGAGTGATTTCTCTGACTTAAACCATGTTATGGTTGATATATAATTGCCCTATAATTTTGCATAATGACCAATAATTGTGTCAGTTTTACTGTTGCATGTTCAGAGTGGCCTGTGAATTCCTGCTTCAGAGTCAACTGCAACAACACAAGCATGGCATCATTATAATTGTTTAATAATTAGTGGTGATGGGAAGATTTTGAGCAGATAAGGTATTAAAATGCAATGCAAATGATTTATTTTTTATCAACATCATACTAGTCAATCATAACAGTTATTTACCATTTGGGGGAAATTACTAATCCTAAATATTCCTATGTGCCTCAGTTAGGGTCTGGGTTTTCTGTACACCTTTATTCTTTATACTCATTAACCTTACAAATTGTATCTGATGACCAACTGGATGTTTGAGACTCAATGACTTGTTGCTCTCAGGTTTCTTTGGGGTTTTGGTTGTCTAGGTGACCTTGGCAAGACAAACCAGTGATCGACATTATGAGTACCGTAATCAAGTCACCTAGCCTTACAGCACGAACCAATCTAGTCACCTTGTACAACAAGCAGTACTGCTGGGGATTTCACTGTTCCCGCCTTTCGACATACATGTATGTAATCTAAACTAGTCTTAGTTGAATTTGGCGGCTCACCAGTCAAACAAGGCCCTCCAGCAGTCTTGAGTGTTAGACTCCCTCACAACTAAGGCCTTATGTTTATTATAGTTGGTTTACAGCAGTATTGTTTAAAGTGTTAGACCCCTCAAAGGTGAGGCCTTTAATTTCATATTTGATTAACAAAGTTGAACTACAAAGAAAATTGAGATTAGATTGATTGGTTGGTTGGTTTGTTGTTTAACGCTGCGCTCAGCAATATTACAGCTATATGACGGCGGTCTGTAAATAATCGAGTCTGGACCAGACAATCCAGTGATTAATATCATGAGCATCCATCCACGCAATTGGGATCGATGACATGCATCAACCAAGTCAGCGAGCCTGACCACCCGATCCCGTAAGTCGCCTTTTACGACAAGCGCAGTCACCTTTTACGGCAAGCATGGGTTGCTGAAGACCTATTCTACCCCGGAAATTGAGATTAGAACAAAATTATTGACTTTGGACGTTTTTGGAGTCGCCTAGTTGATAGATGTTTTGGGGGTGAAACCACTAGCATTTACAAACTGCTGTTCAAACCTGGCTACATCAGCACCTTTTACCAGCAGCTCAGTCACTTGCTGCCACGGACTGTCACTATGAATATATTAACAGCAGAGTCTGCCACCACTAAACTTACACTAAACATTAGCCATGACAAGGATGACAGAATCTGATAAAACTATTTTACCTACCTATTGATCAGGATTTTTCTTCAACAAAAATATCTATATCTATAAACAAAGAAATAAAAAGGCCACCCAAAGTTTTGTTGATACATATTTTATTGTAGTCATTTGTCGGAGGGTAATGTTTACATTTGTTGATGTTTTTTAACTTTTTATTGTGCAATAACACTGTGATCCAACAATAAAACTCAATATACTGCTTTTGATCCCTGTTTTCTCTGTTCCTACACAGACAAGTATGCATGAGTGAGTTGGGTTTAATGCCGCTTTTAACAGTATTAAATTTATATCACAGTATGTCGGCTTGATGAGGGAGGAAAACCGCAGGTGATACAAGTCTTAGATATTTACCACTTTCCTGAAACCCACAAGCACAGGTATGGTGCTGACAAACTTGGAAATATAATCAGGACAAACCAGGATTCGAACCCAAGATCATAGGTTTCTGGCTTGCTCAAGGGACGCAACTCTGCACAGCAAATTGCAGCACCTTACACAGCTATGCCAGCCATGTGATGGTATACCAGCATTACAATTCCACTGGAGGTGAACTGTTTACAGTATACTAGCTGGGTAGTATCCGTTCGTTGATTAACATCACTCAGTTCGAAGCCACCAGACAATAATGAAAACAATACCAACAAATGGAAGATGCACTGTATGAAGAAGTATTTCACAGCTGAAGATAGACAGCAGAAATTGAGTTGGCAAATGTTTTCAGCAGTCAATGAGACTTCTCTTGATGTAATCTGTGATTGAAATAGGGAGTGAGTGAGGTTTTACACCGCTTTTAGCAATATTCCAGCAATATCACAGCGGGGGACACCACAGACAAGAACACGGGGGACACAAGAAAGGGGCTTCACACATTGTGTGTCTGAAATCGAACCGGGGTCTTCGGCATGACAAGTGAACGCTTTAACCACTAGGCTACCCGACTGCCCTATCTGATCAAAATAGCTGCCTGCCTCCTAGCAAAATGCCAATGACAACAGTAGTCAATACATATTTATTTCTACGAATCAGCAAGTCTGTTCAGGCGTCGTTTCATGTAAAAGTCTGCTGTTTTCATTTTATAGTTTATCGGAAGTGTAAAAAATCTTTGTAGTAAATAAGAGGAGGCAATCTTTGACTAAAACAACAATTATTAAGAAGCTTAGCCGAACATGTGGCATAAAAATAACAACAAAATGATACATATTTCTTCAGTTATGGCAAGGTACTATATCATCTTCTGATAATCAATTGACACAGCGGTCCTGTGTTTTTCAAAAATCAGTTAGCTCAAAGGGAAGAACTTAGTTAATCCTTGGCTATGAGGTGAGGTGAGGTGAAATGGGGTTTAACGTAGCGTCCAAGATTATTGCACTTATATAGCGACGTGCAAGCACGTGTGTATGTGTGTGGCTGCTTGTACTAGTCCGGACTGATGCCGATTTATAGTACATTTACTAGCACACTGAGATATCATGCCGCAGTTTAACATGAATACCCCATTCAGACACAGTATACTGACTCTGAGCCGACCAGTCCTTGTTTTAGCCCCAAAATGCCGAGCGCCAGACAGGGTAAGAACAAGTACCATCTTTTAACGTCTTTTGGTATGAAACTACAATATAAAGTAAATCATACAAGAAGCAGAGATGAGAACAAATTTGAACTTTTTTAATTCATGATCATAAAATGTACTACATTTCATTGCATGTAACATTACAACAAATCTTGAATAAGAGTCTTATAGGACAGACTATACATACATATAGATATACACTCAATAGCAAGGCCAGAATAAATTAGTCATCAAACTATCACGGCCACCAGTTCATATTCTGGATGTCGAACGTGGATACAGCTTAAAGACAGGGAGAATTTTGCGATTTTTGGCAATTTGTGTTTATCATGTTTTGATGAAAATATATTTCCCAATGAGCTTGAACTAGTGTTGTTATACTGTTAGTTACAGTACCATATGGAACGTAACATTCAGCGACTAAACCAAACTTGTCTAGACCAATACAAAGTCAAGCTTGTAGAATCCAATATGAAAAGCGTAGCGTACTGCATGACAACGACTGGTATAGGTTTATAGAATGACACTTCTCACAAAGATATTTCTGGTACTGATGAAGTAGAAAAAGAATGTTTCTCAGGCATATTTTACTGAACATTGAGGAGGAAGGAAAGAAAACAACAGTGGTGAGAGGGGAACCTTTCATCTTTTTACCCACAAACACGTATAGAGAATCTCACCCGAGTGTCTTTTGATATCAAATATATCAACACGAGTTGATAAAAGTGGAAAAATCCGAGGCTTGCCGAGGATTTTTGCCACTTTTATCAACGAGTATTGATATATTTGATATCAAAAGACACGAGGGTGAGATTTTATTTATCATCCAACATCATTCTTTCAACTTTTTCAATTTGTAGACAGTAATTAGCAGTGTCTACAGTGTAAAAAGTACTGCAAACAGCTTCAGTAGCAGAGCCATTAGTGATGTCATTTGATTGTGACGTCATGGTAACCCAGATGTCACAATGGTCTGCAAAGCATTGGGATGTAATTTCATTGCAGCGATATCTACAGTGTAGATATCGCTTGATCTCATCCAAGCGATATCTCCTGTGGGAGCCAGTTTTGGATGATAAAAAATGATCCCGTCATGCATACACTGAAATTGACTGAAGTTTTATCATTTATTCAAACATATAAAAGTCAGAAGGAACGGGTGCATAGTCAGAAAGAAAAGGAACGTAAGTGGCTTTTTGTGTAACCATAGAGCTTTAGATAATTTTTGTCCTTAAACAATATATCACTTGACTAACCATGGGTCCGGGTAGTCCTGTGGGTACCCGGGTCCTACTCTGTACCAACCTGGCACACATCGAACTCAGCCTTTTATGCAACATTACAGATGTCAGATTCATGTCACATGACATGGGAAATTTGAAAATATTCTCTTATTAAAACTTTGAAAGGCATTTAGAAGTGATACACAAAAGGAAAAGAACTTAAGGATGTCAACTTCTTTGTTATGAGTAACAGCGTTTAGCATGTTTAGTAGTATATACTTACTCCCTCATCAGGTGAAGGGGTGGTGGGGTAGCCTAGTGGTTAAAGTGTTCGCTCGTCACGCCGGAGACCGGGTTCGATTCCCTACATGGGTACAATGTGTGAAGCCCATTTCTGGTGTCCCCCGCCATGATATTGCTGGAATATTGCTAAAAGCGGCGTAAAACCACAATCACTCACTCATCAGGTGAATATTTATACTATTCACCTGATGAAGGAGTAAGTTTATACTGTGAAACGTTGTGTTCCTCAAAACAAAGAAGTTGACATCCATAAATTCTCTTCCCTATTCTCTTATTGGCCATAAAAATAATGCGGGTAATTTAAAGTGACACCCTAATGCCTGATCAACATTCCTTTTTTTCAAAGCCTAGTACATGTAGAACTAAACACGAGTAAATAACAGAGGACAACAAATACTGTTAAAATACATGATCAGAGATAACATACATAACAACCTCACAACACATGGGACATAATTAGTATGATTAGGTCGGAGCAAACTGATCATGCTGATCACTGTGTGTGTGTCTGTTTATCGTGTGTGTGTTGGAGTGTGTGCTCATGTACATATCATGCATCGTAAGTAGGCTTCCAATGCCACTGCATCATCCTACCAAGGTTCAAAAAAGATTTAACACATAATATACTCACTGGCAAAAGAAACGCAAACCAAAGAAACATATCGAGAAGTATGTACGTTAAGAAGAGATGTTTCCAATGTGTACCACTTAATGACAAAACTAACAATCAGTCAAGTGCATATGATTTCCAGACTTTACAAGCTAATCCTGCATGAGACCAATGGTACATCTCGAGTCATGGATCTATGACGCTACATGTGATGCGTTCTTGAGTGTCAATTCACACATCAGTATAATCGTTTGTGCGTCAAACCAATCTCAGATCTCTTGAATATGAGTCATTTTTCATGTATTAACCAATGAGTATGGTATTTGCGTTTCTTTTGTTGGTAAGTATATAAACCATATACATATTTTATCTAACCAAATTCGTGTAGTTAATGGTCATGAGGCCTGCACATGCTATTATATTGACAGTGTACATTTATTGTTCTATGTTTATCAAAATTAATACATTTTATATAATTTATCAAAAAGCAAGCAAAAAGCAAATACTGATGTAATGTATTCATTTATGTCCTGGTGGCGAGTTGATGGATCCATTAGCCACAAGATTAAACGACCACCGAGACGCCATCTCTCTCCTATAACAAGAACAGGATAGGCACAGAACAAGTGTACATGTTTCTGAAGGATATTTTCCAATTTTTTTTAAAAATAATCATATTTAACTCCACAATTCAATTTCTACACATGTCAACTGGTCATTTTTGTATTTGTGTGGGTTCCCCATGCGACAGTGTCTTTAACATATTCCGTCTCTCTTCATCTCACTCGTAGTACACAGTAGCAATGTCAAAGAACTTGGTGTCGGTTGTTCGGGTGATCGTGTGGTTCACGTGTTTCACAAATCGGAGTGTTTCCTTGTCCCTGTATACCAGTGCCAACGAGTTGTCTGACGGACACACGGTCAGCAGCTGGAACACAAGATATCAGACAGTTTCATAAATGCATGAATATTCATCATGCATAAATAAGAAGTATAACCACATCTGATTTCTTGATTTCTACTCTAGTTATCAACAATGTAACAATGATGCGGATCAAGACACAAGAGCAAAAATAATAAATGATTTTGAAGGCAATCCCAAAGACAGAATTCTCAATAATGTGTCTTCAATTAAACTGCTTTCGTCCGTATTATTTTTACATTGCTTTGAGCAGTTTGTTATTGTAGTGTTAGCATAAGGCAGGCGTAAAGCTAAGGATGTTAACTACAGAGTGACTAGTGCAGATAGACAAAGGATCACGACCAGGGTAAATCTGGGATTCAAACCCACAGCCTAACGGCTGTTACACTAATGTTCCACCTGGGCCCATTCAGGAGTCTTGTTCATGCTTGGACTAAAAATTATTGTAACATAAACAGTGATGATTTCAAATAGAGGGCAGCTTTTACTGCAGGTAAGTATTGTGCGATGACTGTATCGAATCCTACCTCTTCGTCTTCTCCCTTAGCTATGTAAGTTGTGTAGCCACCGTTGTCAGAATCCCAGTCTGGAACAATGAATGTCATTCTCATCCATTCATGATTTTATATTTCATAGCCCTAACAGCAACACCTAGAAGTTATGTATCATGTAAAAAGGTTTATATCACTGACATGCACTTTGTTTATACACACTCTCCTGAAAAATAGGGGATTATGAAACAAAATGTTATGATTGGTTGTCAGAACAAATATCAGCTTTAAACATGACTGCCAGAGATCAATCTCACTAAAATCAGATCTGAGTTTTCGCTACCGCTAATTTTGACCGACCAATGAAATGACAGACAAGAAATCAACATTAGCCAATCAGAAGGCAGCTTTCTGGAGCTTAATTGGCCAGAGATAGAACGGTTTTGGAGCCGAATCCTAACATCCCAACACACCCGAGACATTGGGCCTGGACCATGCAATCCCTCTATGCACGTGGGCAGGAGTTCGTTCTTGGTTTTGAAAAAATAGTGAAAGGTCGCAAATGCCTCTGAGCCATTAATATTTTTTATTTCTTATTTTCATATTCCACAATAAAATGTAAGCTCTCTACTCTTGCTTTAATATAGCATTTGTGATCAGATTGAGACTGTGTCGCCAACACCGTGACAAACGCCCAAGGGATATTGGCATGTTTCAAATGGCTAGAACTTGGCGAGAAGTCAATACGTTCAATGTGTCTCAGTCTGTGATTTGCAGACACAAAAAGTTAATGATCGGATCCACAAAGGGCGCCTTGGTCAACAACACATGTCCATGATCAATTTATCAGAAACCAGGCTTAAAGAAAACTAATTGGTGTTCATTTGCGCCAGGCCGCCAAAGTTCAAGTTATCGAATAACTACAACTAATCTGTATGTTCGTTGACCACACAGTTGCCTCCCTTGAGTTGTACCACCGTTAACAAATCAACATATTCTAGCCACAAGCCAATCGTGTTTAGAGCCAATGGTCATGTGTAATGTTTCCATATTTGTAACGATTCCCTCTGGACTTTCTGGAGAAGCATGGATGTGTCTGGAAGCGTCCTTATGAGCATCGTGTAAACATCGATGTAAGGCAACATGACAGATTTGGGGGTGGATGTGTAATGTGGGGCTGGATGACTATAACTGCAGAACGCCACTGCATATATTGTACACAGAAAGGTCACTGGACAGTACTACCGAGACTACTGCACCAATATGTATGATGTGGCGCTCCATACTGGTCCTCTTTTTCAAGAAGGCAACGCTCTTGCCCTCCGTGGACGTATCATGACTGACTACCTCCAATCACAAGGATGTAATGGCCAGCCATGAGTCCTTTTCCTAATACAGCTTGACATGCGGAGATGTGAACCCTGGCGTCAAAGAACACCCGCTACATTAGCCACGTGCTGCAAGAGGAGTGGACAAGACTTCCTCAAATTGTCATTGGACCATTGATTTCGACCATACCATGCCATATAAACGAATGTTTGACCAATCGTCCAGGGGGTATGATCAAGTCAACATTTACATTTTACTACACCATCCTGTCATCTTCTTGGATGTTTGCACCCCTACAATACACCGCCAACTGGTTCTGCTTATTGACATTTTACCTTTTTCTTATCCATCCACTTACATCACTCGACACCTCTTTGTATTTCTGTAATGATGTGTTATTTTCAAATATCCCCTACTTTTTGGGGAGAGTTAACAATACAGTAAACAACGTTTAACATGAATATGCTTATAACAAACTGACAGATATAACAAACTGTTATTTTGATCCCTGCCATCCGTTGCATATATGCTGTATGTGTACTTCTAATGAACTACGGTTATAACAAAGTAAAATTAATGGGACATTAGTTATTACAATGTTACAAAGGTAATGTCATTTACAAATTGTAGCTATGCAAAATATTTTAGTTTCTGGACTTCGTTCCACACTTTGTTTAAAAACCAATAATACAGTATATTGACTTTATAGGCAAGAATTTATATGTATGAATAGCTTTACATTTCTTGAATGCCATATACCACAATTTTATTGACATACATACATACATACATACATACATACATACATACATACATACATACATACATACATACATACATACATACATATATATGCTGTATCTGCTGAGATGAATAAAGAAGGAAAAGATATTTTTAAATAATTAAATTTTTTTAATGGTCCCTTTGAGTTTGTTATAACCATAGTTTACTGTATGTATAGCATGTAAAGAGGGGGCTGTTTGACAGAAGAAAGACAAGGGACTTTTGACAGGCACATTGTCCTAGACTATGGCCAAACTGACCTCATTGATCCACATGACACAGTAATCTCCAGCCATGCCAAGTGGACTGACACAAGACATTCCTAGAACTTGTGTCAATGGTAAACACACACTGGATTATGGAAAGACGTGACTCAAACTTTGTGGATGAATCTGAACGTGACAAAACATCCCATTCCTGCCAGGGTTGAGAGATTGCTTTGATTCCCTACCTGGACATCCGAAGTACATGAAGGCGTCTAGAGCGTACTCGGAGCCCTCGCTGTCGGTGTCATGGATGAGGGTGTAGCTGCCGTGCCGCCACTGCCGTACCACGCTCCGGCACTGAGGACTGCCTCCCAACTCTGAAGAGTTAAATAACACCATCTGTAATAGCATATCATCTTCAACAACTGCTTTCGGGAATCTGAACTGCCAGGTAGAACCATCCTGCTCTATGACAATACCTAAACATAGGCATGACAAGGAGACAATAGTACTACAACATAATATTTGTTGACATAATAGAAATGGAACAGAGTCTGTTCTGAATGGAATAAAGCCTGGTCCCGTTCCACAATGCTAACTTAGTGGTACAAGTACTACTATCATAAGTCAATGGTAAAGAATATATGTTATGAATGGCGCTCGGGTCCATACCCCTTTGCAAGTATACTTCATTCAATTCTGCTGATGTAATCTCTACTGAGTCTATCAGGCCACAAGTGAGCAGGGGCGGTTGGGTAGCCCAGTGGTTAAAGCGTTCGCTCGTCAATCCAAAGACTTGGGTTCGATTCCCGACACGGATATAACATGTGAAGCCCATTTCTGGTGTCCCCCGCCGTGATATTGCTGGAATATTGCTAAAAGCGGCGTAAAACCATAACTCACTCACTCACCACAAGTGAGTGAGTCGTCCTTAACGCTACGTTAAACAATGTTCCAGTTATATCACCAGGGCTTTACCCCACGCACAAATGTGCATCCTGTACATACAATGTTGAGATTGGTCACAGAAAATTAATACACTGCGTCCTGAGACACACACAATAATATTCATTGTACCTACAGTGCATAAATATGATTCTGTCATGCCTAAGGGAGGCAACTCTGTACAACAAATCGTAGTGCCTCAGCTGATTCTGACCTTGTGGCCCTCCCCACCCCTCCTCCAACATCAGGCCACAAGAGTTTAAGTAGACAATTCATAGACATTTTCTCAGAAAACAAATGATATGCTTGTTTGGTTTGTTTGTTTGTTTGTTGTTTAACACCGCACTCAGCACTTTAATGGCAGTCAGTGAATAATTGAGTCTGGAACAGACAATCCAGTGATTGACATCATGAGCATCGATCCACACAATTGGGATACGATGACATGCATCAACCAAGTCAGCGAGCCTGACCACCCGATCCCGTTCGTCGCCTCTTACGACAAGCATAGTCGCCTTTAACGGCAATCATTGGTTGCTGAAGACCTACTCTACCCTGGATCTTCACGGGTCTCAATGATATGCATGAATATGCTCCTGACAAGTATACTGCAAAATAATCTTAGCACTAAACCTATCTTAAAGTATTTCTATGTACATAAGTTAAAACAGTGCTAGTGAAGAAGCAGAGCCAAACAGACTGGCTCAACAGGATACCTTTACTCTGATTGCCTGTTCCATTAGAGGTGTCAGCTGCCTCTTCCTCATCATCGGACGACGGCGCTAACTCATGCAGTTTGAGTCCTGTCAGGTTGGAGAGAATAAGGAACATGGCATCGGACTGGAGGAAGTTGACACACTTGGTCAGGACCTCTGGCCTATCCCCATCGATGCATGCATCATAGTTTCTGAAAAAAAGTACACAAAACATGGAAAATATAATACGTCAAGGCCAGAGAATAACAAGTCTCAATTATCCGGCAAAACAAATTCCACTGGGTGTAAAAGCCAAAATAGCAGTGACACATATATGAATGGGTCTCTGAAAATCAGTGATGACACCAGGTGTTTTGGGGAAAAGTGTAAATATATCCTGCTCTACTGGTAGGAATGATTTCATGACACTGCTACAGTTTTTGAGGATGCAGGCCTGATGTACCATAATTCACTGACGATTGATTGTTTGTTGTTTAATACCACATTCAGCAATATTAAAGCCTCTAAATAATCAAGTCTGGACCAGACAATCCAGTGATCCACTCGATCGAGGCACCATGACCCACAAACCAAGTCACTGAACCTGACCACCTAATCCATCTAGTCAAGTATAGGTTGCTAGGGACCCAGAAATTTATCTTGACCCGTTCAGAGGCTGATATTCGGCTCCAAATTCGGCAGCAAATGACAGTAAAAATTCCAAATTTGAATGACAAATTTCTTATTTCCCCAGAATTTACAAAAATATGTTTCATTTGTTTCAATTTTGTCTGCAAAGGGCACTTAGTATGGAAATGACAGAGATGGACCAGCCAACACCCATGTCAAGGGCTCCTGTAACAAACAGGAAACTGGGTGTGTTTTCTGGAGGCTTTGCGACACAGATGATGGTACATGCTACTTGCCCACCTTTTGTTTGCAGGGCCCTGTGGGGACCAGGACACACCCACATCACTCATTGCCTGCAGAACCGTCTTGTACTTCTCATCCTGTAAACAACCAATTCTTCAGTACATATCTTTTAATGCACATACTTCACTGCATCTGTACATATCCTTTACTGCAACATATCCACTACTACAACCTATTCTCTTCTGCAACATATCTTTTACTGCAACCTATTCTATACTGCAATATATCCACTTCTACAACCTATTCTCTTCTGCAACATATCTTTTACTGCAACCTATTCTATACTGCAATATATCCACTACTACAACCTATTCTCTTCTGCAACATATCTTTTACTGCAACCTATTCTATACTGCAATATATCCACTACTACAACCTATTCTCTTCTGCAACATATCCTTTACTGCAACATATTCTTTAACGCAACATATTTTCTTCTGCAACATGTCCTCTACTACAACCTATTCTCTTCTGCAGCATATTCTTTACTGCAACATATTCTCTTCTGCAACATATCCACTACTACAACCTATTCTCTTCTGCAACCAGGCAACATATCCTTTACTGCAACATATTCTTTAATGCAACACATTTTCTTCTGCAACATATCCTCTACTACAACCTATTCTCTTCTGCAACATATCCTATATACTATTGTCTACAACATGCTACATTTGGTTATCAAGAGGGGGAGATCAGACCCCCTGGACACCCCCCTCCTCTAGATCGACCGATGTAGTTAACTGTATCTCAGCATATCCTTTACTATATAACTTATACAACAACACTTGTAGTGCCCCATATTCACCTTTGAATGCATGCTCCTAGCATATAGCACAGAGATATTTACAACCTTGTCGCAACTCACCAGCAAATGTGTGCTTCTTTCATAGCCTGAAGATCATAACTTTTGGATAGAACTGTTTTACCAGTTGTAATGTCTTAGAAGCATCAACCAGTACATAACCCACTTGTTTAAAGTCAGTTCCTTCAGCTCAACATAATACTGAAGTTACATCTTCTTAAGGCTCCTTCTGTTTCCTGTCTACAAACTTGTTTCTACAGTAAACGCCTACACCCTCATGGTCATACCTGGAGAAAATCCTTCAATTCAATCTCTGAATCATTCTCGAACTTCTCCTTAATATCAGCCTGAATCTCGGGGTTGAGATAGATCGGGTTGATCCAGCTGTACAGATCATCCTCCTGTAACCATGGCAACTGGGTGAATAAGTGATATACTATTTTGCAGAAATAGTAATAAAAACAGACACTTTTTTGAAAATTCTCATGATTCATGTCTGGCTGAAAACTTGTGTTATAAAATCAGATATTTTAATTCAGTTAATTAGTTTTTTATAACTTGTTTCAGATCTGACCTGTGTAAAATAATGAAAACAGGAAAAATGAATGAAATAAATCCCACGATTGCAAACTGAAATGTTGACAATAAAAATCTGCATGCTATACATCCAACTACAAGACTGACATGACTGTGTATGGCACCATAGGCAAGAAACCTTCTTAAGAACAGTCAGCATGATCAGACGAGCTGAATATGTAAGGTGGGCATGGTCAGAGGTATTTTATCTCTTAAACATATATTTTAAACTGTTCAACATGTTCAAGGCATGTGTTAACACAATTCACATGATTCAACTTGTTCAAGGCATGTGTGTACACAATTCACATGATTCAACTTGTTCAAGGCATGTGTGGACACGATTCACATGATTCAACTTGTTCAAGGCATGTGTTGACACGATTCACATGATTTAACTTGTTCAAGGCATGTGTGGACACGATTCACATGATTTAACTTGTTCAAGGCATGTGTGTACACGATTCACATGATTCAACTTGTTCAAGGCAGTTGTGTACACAATTCACATGATTCAACTTGTTCAAGGCATGTGTGGACACGATTCACATGATTCAACTTGTTCAAGGCATGTGTGGACACGATTAACAGGATTCAACTAGTTCAAGGCATGTGTGTACACAATTCACATGATTCAACTTGTTCAAGGCATGTGTGGACACGATTCACATGATTCAACTTGTTCAAGGCATGTGTTAACACAATTCACATGATTCAACTTGTTCAAGGCATGTGTGTACACAATTCACATGATTCAACTTGTTCAAGGCATGTGTGGACACGATTCACATGATTCAACTTGTTCAAGGCATGTGTGGACACGATTCACAGGATTCAACTAGTTCAAGGCATGTGTTTACACGATTCACATAATTCAACTTGTTCAAGGCATGCGTGGACACGATTCACATGATTCAACTTGTTCAAGGCATGTGTGGACACGATTCACATGATTCAACTTGTTCAAGGCATGTGTTGACACGATTCACATGATTCAACTTGTTCAAGGCATGTGTTGACACGATTCACATGATTCAACTTGTTCAAGGCATGTGTGGACACGATTCACATGATTCAACTTGTTCAAGGCATGTGTGTACACGATTCACATGATTCAACTTGTTCAAGGCATGTGTGTACACGATTCACATGATTCAACATGTTCAAGGCATGTGTGTACACGATTCACATGATTCAACATGTTCAAGGCATGTGTGGACACGATTCACATGATTCAACTTGTTCAAGGCATGTGTGGACACGATTCACATGATTCAACTTGTTCAAGGCATGTGTGTACACGATTCACATGATTCAACTTGTTCAAGGCATGTGTGGACACGATTCACATGATTCAACTTGTTCAAGACATGTGTGGACACGATTCACATGATTCAACTTGTTCAAGGCATGTGTGGACACGATTCACATGATTCAACTTGTTCAAGGCATGTGTTGACACGATTCACATGATTCAACTTGTTCAAGGCATGTGTTGACACGATTCACATCATTCAACTTGTTCAAGGCATGTGTGGACATGATTCACATGATTCAACTTGTTCAAGGCATGTGTGGACACGATTCACATGATTCAACTTGTTCAAGGCATGTGTGGACACGATTCACATGATTCAACATGTTCAAGGCATGTGTGGACACGATTCACATGATTCAACTTGTTCAAGGCATGTGTGGACACGATTCACATGATTCAACTTGTTCAAGGCATGTGTGGACACGATTCACATGATTCAACTTGTTCAAGGCATGTGTGGACACGATTCACATGATTCAACTTGTTCAAGGCATGTGTGGACACGATTCACATGATTCAACTTGTTCAAGGCATGTGTGTACACGATTCACATGATTCAACATGTTCAAGGCATGTGTGTACATGATTCACATGATTCAACATGTTCAAGGCATGTGTGTACACGATTCACATGATTCAACATGTTCAAGGCATGTGTGGACACGATTCACATGATTCAACTTGTTCAAGGCATGTGTGTACACGATTCACATGATTCAACTTGTTCAAGGCATGTGTGGACACGATTCACATGATTCAACTTGTTCAAGGCATGTGTGGACACGATTCACATGATTCAACTTGTTCAAGGCATGTGTGGACACGATTCACATGATTCAACTTGTTCAAGGCATGTGTTGACACGATTCACATGATTCAACTTGTTCAAGGCATGTGTTTACACAATTCACATGATTCAACATGTTCATGGCATGTGTGGACACGATTCACATGATTCAACTTGTTCAAGGCATGCCTGGACACGATTCACATGATTCAACATGTTCAAGGCATGTGTTTACACGATTCACATGATTCAACTTGTTCAAGGCATGTGTGTACACGATTCACATGATTCAACATGTTCAAGGCATGTGTGGACACGATTCACATGATTCAACTTGTTCAAGGCATGTGTGGACACAATTCACATGATTCAACTTGTTCAAGGCATGTGTGTACACGATTCACATGATTCAACATGTTCAAGGCATGTGTTGACACGATTCACATGAACGTTTGCTGGGACTGTGTACAATGGTGTATATGATATACTTCATCAAGTATAGAAAGAGGGGTCCACATTAAGTGACTTCTTTTGTCTATAGGTAATTGGGTACTTATGTGTCGTGTTCAGCAGTGAGACAGGTGGAGACTAAAATCAAATGCTTATTTATCACGGCCTAGTGGCAAATCCTCTAAACAATGACAACATGTTTACTTACATCTATCGTGTTGGGCGAGATGAGGGGAGGCAGGGACTCCACGAAGGGTTTAGATCTGGGTACAGCGGGACCATGGTACCAGCCGCTTACAGACAGTCGACACTTGCTCTCCGACAGAATCTCAGCCACCTGTAACGAATGAGTTAGATACATACAGAATTGGCATGCATGCAACATGCTTTGAATGAAATCCTGATCCAGTGTGCTGCATATGATTATGTCAATGCCAGACATGCCCTACAACATGTGCTTGGCATACAGTTCAAATTAATTTAGAAAGTTACAAGCCAAAACAAATGTTTAAGTACATCTCTAGGTTGAATAAGTTGCATAAAATGAAAGTCACAAAGTTTGATGATGGATAAACAGTAGTCTTCTAGTTTGCACACTATGATTCCAAGGGGCACTTCTAAACATCTGTATGAGTGCCCCGTGGCACACTTGACAACATGGCATGGGTTGTTGCTCCTGGTTGCAGTCACTCACCTGATGAGTGAGTGAGTATGGTTTTATGCCGCTTTATAGCAATATTCCAGCAATATCACGACGGGGGACACCAGAAATGGGCTTCACACAATGTACCCATGTCGGGAATCGAACCCGGGTCTTTGGCGTGATGAGCGAACGCTTTAACCACTAGGCTACCCGACCGCCCCTCTCACCTGATGAAATGATGCCTCCGTCACTTCAAAGAACAGCAGACAGTTCCTCTGGGGGCAAACCGACTTGACAACCTTGTTTGGCTGTCCATGCTCTGAAACATGGAACAATGCCAATGACTGACAGCTGCTGCATGAGAAATGTTCCTTCTGTAGTTCCAGAAGTTTGTTTGTTGTTTGTTGTTTAACGCTGCACTCAGTAATTTTCCAGCTATATGACAGCAGTCTGTAGGAAGGACATAGAAGGGACGTAACTCGCTACTGGTGGTGCTACAAACGAGCCACTAAATTCCAGCCTAGTTCGGCAAGGGTGGAAACTGGACTTTTATAGTCAGTTAACTCCCTTGCCTCAGGAAGATGGCATGGAACCACCATGTCATAAGTCTAAAAAGTCCACATAATATCGAGCACCATTGTGTCAAATTCTTGCAGGTCTCCCTTGCAGTGGCACATTCATGTATCAACATTTTTTCTTAAAAGCGTTCAAATAGACGTAACACCTTTTCAAATGTCCTTGTCTTTCTTTGAGGTTCCAGTCATTGACCACAGGTGTAAAGTTGCCGTAATAATACTTAAATACTTCAGATGCTATTTAACTCACATCAGCGTCTCATAATCAAAAGGAATATAAAGTTGCTTCATGGTTTATTAAACTGAATTATGATGAACATTTGTGTCAATTCTCAGAATGGTCAAACCATTTTTCTGGTTCCAATGAGTTCAACATGAGTCCATGGGCGGATACAGAGGGGGGGTGCGGGGGTGCGCACCCCCCCTTTTTATTTCGAAAAAAATCTTTATTTCTGTATAAATTACCACCAAAGACAATAAATAGATCTTAATTGTGCACCCCCCCTTTTCAAAAAAGCTGTATCCGCCCATGTGAGTAACCAATGACATGAAAGTTTTGAAGTACATAGTTTCATTTTCAACTTTATGACAACATTGTAAGTGAATGGGTATGGTTTAATGCTGCTTTTAGCAACGTCCAGGAACAGGGAACAGCAGAAAAAATGAGCTTCATACATTATACCCATGAGGGGAATTGAACCTGGGCCTTCAGCGTGATGAGCAAACACTTTAACCACTAGGCTAGCCCGCCACGCCTACAGGTTAAACTCCACCAAATCAGAATGAGTTGTTCCCCGTCGTGGAGACCCTTCAGTGCCTTTCAGACATCTGGCAGCTGTGATTCCACGATTTTGTGTAAGATTTTTATGTTTCTTATAATGTACATCTATCCTGTTATTAAAACTGACCATGTTTTTCAATATTTTGTGCTGTCTTTTTCAACATGATGACTTACGCTGAATGTGACAACAGATATTTTCAAGCAAGTGACATTTGGTGCAGAACTGGGTAAGGCGTGTTTAGCGTCCTGTAGTGTGAAAACTAACTTGCAAACCTAGCCATTTTTATTGTTTTCATTGCTGCTTTAAGGCCAGACTGTGCACACATGTACAGGAAATAGCTGTTGAATGCTTGTTGTTTTAAAAAAAATATATCTCACTATAGGAGACTATGGGAAACCATTTGGTTTTGTGTACCCTACAACAAAGTGACAGGTCTATCATCTTACCGTCCATGTCGAAGAGGTCAAGCATGCCGCCATCAGCCTCCCCCCAGCTGTCAGGAACCAGGTAGAAGATGAAGGCAATCCTCCGACCCTCCAGCTCGTCATCGTGACACAGGAGCACATCTGTGTTCACACAAGATAAGAGACAACTACAGAGAGTGAGTGAGGGAGTTGGGTTTTAACGTCGCTTTTAACAATATTCCAGTTATATCGCGGCGTGTCAGCTTAATGTGGGAGGAAAGCCCGAAGTGATGCAGGTCTCAGACGTTTACCACTTCGGTGAAACCCACGAGCACGGGTATGGTGCTGACAAACCTAGAAACATAATCGGGGCGAACCGGGATTCGAACCCACAATCATAGGTTTCTGGCGTGCCCAAGGGACGCAACTCTGCACAGCGAATCTCGGAGCCTTAGACGACTTGGCCACCCGTGCCCCCTCAACTACAGAGAGGCATCATGACTTGTTTTTAGAAACACTGACTTCCTAATCCGGCCATGTAAAAGAAACAATGGCCGTGTCAAATTAGGAATAGTCAAGCTTTATCATGGAAGATTGTGAAAAATTAATCTGGACCAGCTGCACCAATGATTGAAAGCATGAGCAATTATCCCCAGCATCAGTAAGAGTGAGTTGGGTTTAGCGCTGCTTTGAACAGTATTCCAGTTACCGTATTCGACATAATAAGCGCCCCACTCCAATAAGCGCCCATGGCGATATTTGTTAATATATTGGCAAGTGAACAATCCCAATTAGCACCCTTCCAATCGATCAATGTACACAAGACTTATTTATTCGCGTATGATACACACTCGTGTGTTATATGCACCCTTAATTATGGGCAATTTAATTCTGGCAAAATATATCTGTCGTACATAAACATTTCAGGTTGTCAGCTTAAACCACAAAATTTATCTTTCAACTCTGTTTTTTTAAACCAATATAATATTCTAATAAGAGCCCCCTATTCCTAATTTTGAGAGTGCCCTGGGCGCTTATATGTCGAATACGGTATATCAAGGTATGTCAGCTTGATTTTGGGCGGAAAGCCTGAAGACATGCAGGTCTTTGATGTTGACCACTTTGTTGAAACCAACAAGCACAGGTTTCTGGCATGCTCAAGGGATGCAACTCTGCACAGTGAATTGCAGCGCCTTAGACTTTGGAGTAATCAGTGGGGTTAAAAAGAATAATGTTAACAGTACCAGAAGTTCCCTGTCTGAACCTGCAAAAATCAACTGATAAAATGAGTGAGTGAGTGAGTTGTGTTTAACGCCGCTTTTAACAGTATTCCAGTTATATCACGGCGTGTCAGCTTAATGTGGGAGGAAAGCCCGAAGTAAGGCAGGTCTCAGACTTTACCACTTTGGTGAAACCCACGAGCACGGGTATGGTGCTGACAAACCTAGAAACATAATTGGGGCGAACCAGGATTTGAACCAACAACCATAGGTTTCTGGCGTGCCCAAGGGACGCAACTCGGCACAGCGAATCGCGGCGCCTTAGACGACTGGGCCACCCGTGCCCCCACTGATAAAATGACTTGAGTGTGTTTTAACATAACACCCCATCAGACATCTTGTGTCAGAGAGTAAGAATATCATGTGCATTATGTGAATTGAAAGCACTGCTCTCATTGGCCAGCATAGTTTGCTGTCGAAAGTTTCATGTCACCGGTGCATTCACAAATTGCTCAACTTGATATTCTTGGCATTTCAATAATTCGGGGGAAAATCACAAAAACTGTAATTTTGGGTAGGACAAGCAGAATCAATTATAGCGTAATTTCTGGTTCAGAATCATAATGGTTGGCATCTCTTCAGAGACGCTATACATCTTAACAGTAACCATGGTAACAACCAAAGTTTCCTGATGTTTGTGAGACTATTGTCCGCCATGTCTGGTCCCCATTACTACCATGCTGACTGTCCCTTACCTGTGTATTTATACTGAGAGCAGAATATGTCCACATTTGACGTTAACGGAATATCCGTGACCTCCTCAAGCCATCCATGAAAATCTTCATTCAACAGTTTTCTGAAAAGCGTAGGCAGAAACATGAAACAAAACACATGTGACCATAACGACTTCATACCTTATTCAGCAGCAATATATCCTGAGAACTTAAATATCCCTTTTTGAGAATACTGAACAGCAGTTAGTTAAATATTGAATGAATGAATTTTGTTTCATATAGTCTCTACATTAATCAGCCTTGAAGAAAATACTTATTTGGAGGCTTCCAACATCAAAAACTTGCTTCTGATTGAAAAATTGATTTAGCAGCCACTTATGAAATTTCCACACAGCTATAGTCCAGCTTTCAAAGCCATTTCAAAAGTAATTTTCCAAAGTTCATTTCAGCACCACAATTAATATGAAATATGATTTACAAAGGTATAGCTTTTTTGTCATTTCTTCTTTATCACCATATATACATGATATCATGAGATATACCATGGCGGCTCTATTAGCATTATTAGCAGGGTTGAGACACATATATTCTTTACATTTAACATGTTCACAAACTGACATAAAGTCAGGGATTTATCTGGACCTGCTCAGAGGCTCATATTTGGCCCCAAGTCTGCAGCAGATGACGGTAAACATTCCCATTTTAAATGTTTTTAATTTACCAAACTAAGAATAATTTTCACAATTTGCCTCCAAAGAATACTTAGTTTGGAATCCTAGATAAATCCCTGAAAGTATAGGTACCGGTAGTTGAGTGAATACCCCTTATCATGATAAGTGTTCTAATATGCATGATATGTGTACCGAAACTCAAGAAGAACGTGTAGAGAATAGATCTTCAGCAACCCATGCTTGCCATAAGAGGCGACTATGCTTGTCATAAGAGGCGACTAACAGGATAGGGTAGTCAGGCTCGCTGACTTGGTTGATACATGTCATCATATTCCAATTGCGTAGATCAATACTCATGATGTAAATCACTGGACTGTCTGGTCCAGACTCGATTATTTACAGACTGCCGTCATATTGCTCAAATATTGCTGAGTGTGTCATTAAACAACAAACAAACAACACCCTAAACTGTGTAATCAAGTATTAAATGCCATACATGAATTTACATCTTATTTCTTTGCCAGCAGTTGACACAAAGAATTGGGTTGTTTTTTTCACATTTATTTGTCCTTCTCGCATCCTGTTTAGGAACTCATTTAAGCATTAAACTAGTCTGCACTTAAAACCAGAGCCTATCAACAAAATAACTGTCGTCTGCTTCTTGTGACAACTCAGTACAATACTTTTATCGCAGGATACATTCATAAAACAATATTCAATCACTCACTTGAGATGTGCTATGCATGGGGAAGCTGTCTTCTTCAGATCTGAACTCTGCGAAATAATAACCATCTTAAAAGTTTAGACACAAGAATTGCCAACACAAACATTTAACACAACAGTAATCATGATAACAAAAGTACAGTATTCCACATTTTAAGGTCTTATTTCAATGTGGCATTAAATATTATAAGCAGGTAGAATGCTTATTTGTCCCCCCATTATTCAGGCATACAGATCCATACAAGTTCATGAATCATACCGGTAGTCAATGTTCACTCCCAAAGTACGAGTGAGTGAGTGAGTGAGTGAGTGAGTGAGTGAGTGAGTGAGTGAGTGAGTGAGTGAGTGAGTGAGTGAGTGAGTGAGTGAGTGAGTGAGTGAGTGAGTGAGTGAGTGAGTGAGTGAGTGAGTGAGTGAGTGAGTGAGTGAGTGAGTGAGTGAGTGAGTGAGTGAGTGAGTGAGTGAGTGAGTGAGTGAGTGAGTGAGTGAGTGAGTGAGTGAGTGAGTGAGTGAGTGAGTGAGTGAGTGAGTGAGTGAGTGAGTGAGTGAGTGAGTGAGTGAGTGAGTGAGTGAGTGAGTGAGTGAGTGAGTGAGTGAGTGAGTGAGTGAGTGAGTGAGTGAGTGAGTGAGTGAGTGAGTGAGTGAGTGAGTGAGTGAGTGAGTGAGTGAGTGAGTGAGTGAGTGAGTGAGTGAGTGAGTGAGTGAGTGAGTGAGTGAGTGAGTGAGTGAGTGAGTGAGTGAGTGAGTGAGTGAGTGAGTGAGTGAGTGAGTGAGTGAGTGAGTGAGTGAGTGAGTGAGTGAGTGAGTGAGTGAGTGAGTGAGTGAGTGAGTGAGTGAGTGGGGTTTTACGCCGCTTTTAGCAATATTCCAGCAATATCACGGCGGGGGACACCAGAAATGGGCTTCACACATTGTACCCAACGTACTAGAAATCACAACACTTTGGGCCATGATACAACATAAAATAGCCCCATTGTGAAGTGTCAATATAAAATGGCAGACAGATATATGACATAAGAGAACACATTAGGAAAGTGCTATAAACATGATATAGACACTACTCCCCTTTTGATAGGGATATTTATATCTTTGCATGATTCACAAAACTGATTCTCAAAATATCCATGTCAAGATGTCTTAAAATTTGACCTGACAAGTGCAGAGTTTTCATGTACTGTACTGTGAATCATATTACTTCAAACCTAATCGACACCATGGTTACAGGTAATGCAGCATTTGGGGGAACAGGTAAAAAATATATGTATGTTTCCATGGTTCCTAACCTGTTTGAACTTATATAAGTCATTGTTTTTCTCTGCAAAAGGCACTGCATGAAGTTCAGCTGTCAGATCATCCAGGAAGCTGGAATCTTGTATGAAGTCTGGCAGTAAACTGTGTGTGAAGGGCAGCTGGTTCACACAACACCCGCTGTCATCTGCAAATAATTTTTTAATTTGAACTTTACACGATATACGGCTTTTCCATTGGACGATAGGTCGGTCACATGACCGCGAAATTGAATTGACACAATTTGACATTCATATATTTTTCACGAGACCGTGTTCTTGAAATGACGTAAACATTGACGGACTACTTCCACATTTCTGGGGAAACCCCTGGGAATTCCCTAGCACGAAAACATACATAAGTGTTCTTTCTGATCATTTAGAACCTTTATTCTTGGTCTCAGCGTTTCAGTATACATTGAGAAATGTCGCAAGCTCCAATGTTCATACGGTTTGGCCCTCACTCTACATGCTCTATGAAGGTTCATACTCCAATGAACTCGCACAAAGTGAAAGTCAATTCTTAAATAAATTATTTGCATTCGAGACACATGTAGAGAATTAATCATGTCATCTAATCATAGTCATGGTTTAGACTGATTCAAATGTATTTATACAACATATGAGTATAAACAACTTTTTATGACCTGTGTCATATAGAAATTCAGAAAGCAACTAAGCACTTTGTTGTTGATGTGTAAAAAAATAAACATCACAAATTAATACTCAGTCATTGATGGTAGACAAGGTTCTCGACATAAATGGCACAGATCAAGTTATTTCTTATATGATTATCAAACAGTATGCATAAGATTATGAAAGAAGTCATAACATTCTTGAGTTACATGCTCACTTTTGGGAACATGTGTCAAACATTTTGTATTTCCTGAGCAAAAGTGATAATGCAAAAACATATACCGTATTCGACGTAATAAGCACCCACGGCAATATTTGCTGATATTTTCAACTTTACCTGCTGATTACCGGTACTTCCTGTTGGGAACAATGGGCGTCGACTATGATTTTTACTTATTGTTAATGTGGAGTTGCGTTATCACAAATACGTAGTTATGTAAGTCAATACGTGCAAGCATGCACATAGTATTATTTGTAAGAGACATATATACCTAAAGGGGTAAAATACTGAGGGCCATCGTTTTCTGTGTTCACCAAACCACAGAATTTACAATCTTTAAATTGTTTTTTTTCACACAAATATTATATTCTACTAAGCGCCCCTTTTTTCTTATTTTGAGAATGCCCTGGGTGCTTATTACGCCAAATACGGTAGTCACTTTTCATAATCTCACTTGTTCCATATTCTCATGGAAATACAGGGTTTGAATTACTGCTGGGTTTTTTGCCTCTGCAGGCTCTGGTTAGACAAAATGACTAAAAAAGTACCTGCATTGCTTTAAGTTTGTGGCCTGGTAGGTCATTACATTGCGCCTATTCCCATACCTGTGTCTCATACTGCACATCATCAGCTGGTAATAGTTTTTAAAAATGATTATATTTTGGGACATCCAAAACTTTGATTTTAAGAATAGGTTATGGTCGGCATGCATGAAATGTACACTTATCACATCACCAACGGTAGTGGTGTATTTAAAGGGCAAAATATGCACTTATAATATAGAACATAGGTGATCAATGCTATCGTCCCATATAGTGCATTTGGCAAGAGTGAAATTATTGGGCGCAGCTGTCTGCCATCCACCCGACTAGCTTAATGTCTCGTCTCCTATCAATCATTCTCCAGTCTAAACAACACAAAGTCTTTGATAATATTTTCTCACCATCTGTCACACACTGTTTTTGGCTAAAGGCGTTTTTAAATGTTGTTTTCAGATTTGTCACTTTAGAATTTATTTTCACATCCTCCAGATTTGGCGGTCTGTGCCGTTTTGTGACAACTTCCCCATCAGACACTTGTGGTCTTTTACCACTCATCGTGAGCAACTGTACACGGCGACCCAATGTACAATACTGGAAAACGTCTACATGATCTGTAAAATCGACGCGCAATCCTGTCAGTGCATCCCCGCCAAAACACGTGCATTTGTTGACGGAAGTGCCGTTTTCCGTTATAGTCGTAATATTCTTGAACGGTGTTCCTGATAAAATCTTAGATAAATAATCATGCTTGTCATTCATATCGGAATAGAGTGTTAAAACTGGTAGAAATTAGCCTGTTGAAACAACGCTTCAAATTTTAAACTTCGGGAAGATTTCAGTTGTTTACGACTTATCAACATCGTAGCTCTATCTGTTTCCGGTTCAGAAGCATGTTTTGAAGAATTATCTAGGTTTAAACGTTTATCTGCATCGAATGCCATTACAATGGTAAAAACACACATTTTAGATGACTGCGTTATATTAATTCCTTGTGTGATACATTAATGAGTAATATGTGCCAAACACAAACCTGTTAACAATGGTTTAATCAATAAAAGAAAAGGTCTAAAAATTGTTTTTGTTAATTGTGTGATGTTGGCGTTTTGTTTAATTTCTTGAGTCTAGGCGACCCCAAGCATCTATTTCGTCGAATTTCACTTGCAATCTTGTCAATGAATGTTCTTTCTACTTGTAGTTACCCTTGTCACTCCTGAGAACTGCTGTCAACCATCCAATGGTGAGTATCCCAGTAGCTTTGTATTTTAATGGCAAGAATTCAGTTTACCGGCGCAGCTTTTATCCCTAATTAGCTCCGTCTGCAGGGGGTGCAGGCTAAAACGGCTACTATGTGTTGGGCGAAAACGGAACCTCTATGTTTAATAACGATAACAACGATTTTTGTAGTAATATATAGGGTTTATTTACATGGCATTTGATGTATTGAGTACATCTGAAGCCGTAATGTGAATTTCCGATAGGTTTGGTACTATCATTTCTTCATCATCTTCTGACTGGAAACTGACATGAAAGTTACCGATCACCTCTTCAATGACGGGAGCTACGCATTTCACACAGCGGAAAGGGAAGTCAGTACGGCAAATTTCTCTAAAACGGGCCATAGAAAGTCCGGTTCCACTGGTCACAGTTATCACATGATACAGCATGTTGATTTTTTTCTGTCATTCTTCTCGCATGCAACACATCGAAAGGCCATTGTGAATAATTGTGATCTGACAGCACCATGTTAGGCCTCTTAAATACAGTTTCAGCTTAAATTGAGTAAAGGTACTTAAAACTTCAAAGCGTATAGTGAATAAAAGTCGGTGAGTAAATTGGAGTAGGGGGCTAATTTCTTATTTGTTTTATTTCACAATTAGTTGTGTTTGTAAGAGACGATGTGAGTTTAATTTCTATTATCTCTCGTCAAAGCATGTTATGTTTTCACCATAAGTTGAGTTGCGTATAAGCTAAGTTGGATTATAGTTGGAGCAGAGGCTAATTTCTAATGTAAACTTTTTTTAACATCTCACAATTATTGGCCTTTGCAAGTTACAATGTAAGTTTAATATCATTCATTTGACCAAGGTAACAAAAAAAATAAGGTGCCGTTTTCGCTCGAGTCGAGGTGCCGTTTTCGCCCGGTGACGTTTTGCTGAGGTGCCTTTTTCGCTATAACCCTCTGCAGGCAGTGTCTCTTCAACCCTTAGGATTGGTTGTGTTAAACTAAGGTAGGTTTCCTCCAACGCTTGGATCCCCTTTCCAATCAAGCACCCTTTACGATCATTAGGTTTAAGTACCCCATGCCAATCAAACACCCCATTGTGATCTTTAGGGTTAGTTGTGAGTTACGGAATGGGTTAACTAGTTCACTTCTTGTAATGGATTAATACAATGTAATTTGAGGAAAATCCTTACAATTTCTATCAAGATTCGAGTTTTGCAAAGAATAATGGCTACTTTGGGTGTTGATCACTTGGAAGGGGACACTAATTATTTGTGATAGTGCCCATGGTCCCATGTTAAAGTTTTTGCTAATTAGATCATTGTCATGATTGTAGTCATACTCATGAGCATGATTATCCAAGTTTAGTTTGAAGCAAAGAATTATACCATAGCAATGACAACCCTGATCATGATGATGACAGTTGATTGATAAATAATATTGTCGTAATATTAGTAATAATTTTTAATAGTGTATTTGGACACAATGAATAATGACAGTGAAATAAAGTAAGCATGGTAAGAATGACCTAAAGAATCTGTTTGAAATCTACCTTGTAGTTGTGTCTTTCTTTTAGCCTTGAATGTTAAATGTTTAAAACAAGCCTTGAATCTAGCTCAATTTTTTTATCAACAATGTTATTTGTACTATTTCCATATAGTTGAGAGTTCATTTTATACCAGTGATTAAGATCAAAGATTTTGGTTGAAAAAATAGTCCAGATTTGTCATTGCTGAGTGAGGCAGTAAACAACAAATGTCATGTTTTTACGTATATCTTAGTGTCGGAATAGTTGCTGTTTCTAACTTTATTTTCAGCTTTATCATGTTTACAGCATTAACATATCAAACGACTCGTGAAGATCAAGGGTAGAATAAGTCTTCAGCAACCCATGCTTGCCGTAAAAGGCGACTATGCTTGTCGTAAAAGGCAACTAACGGTATCAGGTGGTTAGACTCACTGACTTGGTTGATGCATGTCATCGATCCCAATTGCGTGGATCGATGCTCATGATATCAATCACTGGATTGTCTGGTCCAGACTCGATTATTTACTGATTGCCGTTATATAGCTGGAATATTGCTGAGTGCGACGTAAAACAACCAACCAACATATCAATCATAGCTTAACCTTAGCGTTTAAGACTATGATCTGATGATACGTTGAAGTATGGTGTTGGGCAAATGTGATACTAATCTCTGCTGTTTCTCTTGTACAATGTGACCGCCTCCGTGGTCTAGTGGTAGAGCGTCCGCCCGGAGAGCGGAAGGTTCGGGGTTCGATCCCCGGCCGCGTCATACCAAAAGATGTTAAAAGATGGTACTTGTTGTTACCCTGTCTGGCGCTCGGCATTAAGGGGCTAAAACAAGGACTGGTCGGCTCGGAGTCAGTATACTGTGTCTGAGTGGGGTATTCATGTTAAACTGCGGCATGGTATCTCAGTGTGCTAGCACTATAAATCGGCATCAGTCCGGACTAGTACAAGCAGCCACACACACACACACGTACATGCACGTCGCTATATAAGTGCAATAATCTTGGACGCGACGTTAAACCCCATTTCACCTCACCTCTTGTACAATGTGGTATTTGCCTGGTTTGTGAATGATTAAAATTATGGTCAGTGTCATTTGGTTGGCAGTGTCGGCCTAGCCATTCCTGTATGACCTACTAACACTTGACATTGATCATGTAAATATTAACTCAATTCTGAGGATCATTGCCAATGATCATACGAGTGCACTGCAGCATGTTCAGTGAACACATGACTAATCAGCATCCCCATCAACAACGTCAACCAACTCTTAATCATGTAAATGATCAAGTTGGATTTTTCACTTATTTTCAGCTGGTTGAGTTGAAGAATGGCGAGACATACAACGGACATCTTGTCAGCTGTGATAACTGGATGAACATCAACTTGAGGGAAGTTATCTGCACATCTCGGGTAAACACACGTTAATCCTTCCATATGACTCAAACCTGTAGGGCGGTCGGGTAGCCTAGTGGTTGAAGCATTCTCTTGTCACGACGAAGACCCGGGTTCGATTCCCGACATGGGTACAATGTGTGAAGCCCATTTCTGGTGTCCCCCGCTGTGATATTGCTGGGATATTGCTAAAAGTGGCGTAAAACCATACTCCCTTTCTCAAACCTGTGGCAAACTAGGTCCCCATCATCCGATGCTTGTCATAAGACCTGGAGTCAACTAACATGAAGATAGGTTATAGTGTGTGGCAGCAATTAGCCTTCACTCACTGTTTTGGTGCAATTAGTCATCTAGTCATGCTGGTTGTGGTGAAGTTGTATTTCATGTTAACTTGACCCGTGAAGATCCGGGGTAGAATAGGTCTTCAGCAGCCCATGCTTGCCGCAAAAGGTGACTATGCTTGTCGTAAAAGGCGATTTTTACTTGTCATAAGAGGCTACTAACAGGATTGGGGAGTCAGACTTGCTGACTTGGTTGATACATGTCATCATATCCCAAATGTGTAGATCAATGATCATGATGTCAATCACTGGATTCTTTGGTCCAGACTCAATTGGTTACAGACTGCCGTCATATAGCTGGAATATTGCTGGGTGCAGCATTAAACAAAAAGCAAACAAACAAATCTTGTTAGCTTCTTCAATGTGTTTAGGATTTGGGTTTAAGGTTAGTTTTGTGTCTGTTGCACCAATATCGGCAGTAATGAACAACAGTATAAACCTCATTATTTCATGATTGTCTTTTTCCTATTGCTGTATCGATGAAGAGATCGGTGATTACCCAAGTCATAAACAGTGATAAATGCAGGCTATGACAAGGGGCACAAGCGCTACAAATTGCTATACAGAATTACATCCTTTGGGCATGCCAGAAACTCATGGTTGTTGGTTTGGGGCAAATATGTTTCTAGATTTTTCAGCACCAATACATGTTCTGCATCATATTGCAGGATGGTGACAGATTCTGGAGGATGCCGGAGTGCTACATCCGAGGAAGCACAATCAAATATCTTAGAATTCCTGATGAAGTCATTGACATGGTGAAGGAAGAGGTCATTCAGAAGAACAAAGGTCGTGGAGACATGCGAGGGAGGGGAGGTCAGCGTGGGAGGGGGAGAGGTAGGTTGTCTCTTCCATGCCTGTGTCACCTGTTGAGAACCCAGGTCGGAGTAGGTATCCCGTCACCCATGCATGTAACGCAGCCCTCCATCCTTGCCGTATGAGTAAAACTATAATAACATTTGGATGGTCGTCGTCGTGGGAAAGGAAGTGGTTAGATGTCTTCTCCTCGTCAGTGACATCTGTCTAATACCCCGGTCAGAGTAGGTCCCGAGTACCCGCGGCTTGTCATAACTCTACAATGGGGTAGCTACGTTTATTGACCTTGGCCCCGTTCCACAAAGCGATCGTACCCCCCATACTTTAACATCGACTTATGACAGTTGTAGCGCTACGATCAATTTGTGGAATGGGGCCCTGGCTGATTGTTGAGTCATCCTACTCCCAACAGTATGTCTGCTCATGCTTATAATCATGCTATTGACCCCCAATGTTGAAAACACTGAGTTAGCAGACAAACATTTTGGGTTTTAAAGGATTCAATCAGATGTGCCAGAAATGCAAACTATCTGAACCTAGTACCCATTTAATGACCAAAATAATAGTGGTGACACTGCTATTCTTGTGTGAATCTCTTTCGTTTAAAAGAAAATCCCAGGATACAAATCGTATCTTAGCAGTTGAGTCCAAGTGAATGTACAAATCGTTATCATATTGACTACTGCAAGTCAGCACTATACCCATGCTTGTGGGTTTCACCAAAGTGGTAAATGTCTGAAACCTGCATCACTTCATGCTTTGTTCCCACATCAACATGATTAAAGGGCAAGTTCACACGGAAATGAACCTAATTTTCTTATACTTTTTCCACAATAAAAGTGTTAACCTAGAAGTGTCATAGACAAAAATATAAAAATATCACAATTAATCAACAAATGTTTTTTTCATTAAAACGATTTATATTTTTCACATTTACCAAGTGTTCTATTTCCATAACAAAAACACCATGGCTTATGCCCCTTGCAATATGACGTCATTGGTGCCAATTGATAAACATTATGACGTCATCATGCTTTTTTAGAGCCGCTTCACGTGGTGCAGGTACAGGTGTGTGATTCTAGCGTCTCAGATGCCAGCCAGCATAGTGTCATGCTGAGTCACCACTGCGCCGGAGTGTGTCGTAGGCCATGTTGTTTTACCGAAAACTTGTACTTGATATCTTTTGCGTTCAGAATAGACAGGGACCCAGTTGAATTGGCACCAATTACGTCATAATCTAAGGGAGATAACTCAGACCTGTTTAGCTCGAAAAACGAAGGCCTCATAACGGCATATCATTTTCACACTATTGTAAGCTTCCTACTTTCACTGTGAAAAAAATGAGTGTATATTTTCAAAAACAGATACTAACTAATTCTAAAATTGCCTTTTGTTTAGAAAAAGAAAGAAAGTAATTTTTGCGTGTACACTTCCCCTTTAAGCTGACGCACCATGAATTTAAACCCCACTCACTCACTGCTACTGTAACTGTAAGATGAACCACATGCAATCAATGACCTTTTGCTGACTGAATATGTTTTGTGCAGGTGCATTCTCGGCTGGAGGTCGGGGAGGTCGTGGTGGAGGTCGAGGAGGGGGAGGTGGAGGTCAGCAGAAGCCAGGCAAGGGCCGCGGCAACTGAGAAGCCAAAGTTCAGAAAGAAGGCTTCCTACCATTTAGTCATCACAACAAAGGCTAATTGCCAGTCAGTTATCTCCCTTTGGAAGGCTTCAGATTTGAAGCTGGAGCAGCAAGTTGAATATGGTGTGGAATTTAACAGAAAACAAAAGTGCTAGGGTAGTTAGAATATAGCCAGACTGACAGGCAAAGACAGTATTGGAAAGATCAGATTGTTTTCTTAGATTGTCAGTATGAACCTTTATTCCAGTATAAGGTATAATACTTTTTCGGTTTCATTTGTAAATATGTATTGGTTCATGCCCTCCTGAAGGTGACATGGACTTTCAATGCTGGAGGCATGAGCTTCGAAAGTCCATATTGCCAGAGAGGGGGGCGCTAAATGACTTATACCACATGGGCCACAAATGCAACTGTGATCCGAGGCTCGGTCCCTCTTGTTCGAATCGAATCATCCAACCTCGGTCTATTGTATGTGCAGGGTCATTACGAAGAATAACTATCTGCCACAATAGTAGACACAACACACCCTAGTGGTATAAGTGACAGTAGTCCCCGTCTAAGAAAGACTGGTCACCATGATGAGGTGGCAGTTATCGTTAATGCTTACTTACTTTTTGAGGGTGTAAAACATACGTTCCATTTTCCTAGTCAACCGATTAACAGGCACAAATAAGACTACCAGTAACTCGGAATGAAGTGTGTCATTTACTGACAAAGATATAATTTCTCTATTTGTAGAACAATCATATGTAAAAAATTTAAAAAACACACACACGACTACCGGTAACTCAGAATGAAGTGTGTCAGGTACTGACAAAGACATAATTTGTCTATTTGTAGAACAATCATATGTAAAAAATTTAAAAAACAAAGTTTGAAAGCATTCTTATCTGAATTTAGTCATTGTCATCGGATAGCATGGCTAGTCCAAGACTACCGGTAGTCATATTTAGGAAGGACTAGTGACATTTCCTTATGCACTTTGACTAATTACTGTTAGGCACATGGCAAATGAAGAATATCATCTTTGCAGACTAGTGAAAATAAAACTTGGTTTCTTAGTCTGATGCAGTCGGTGAACTATCTCTTCTTTTATTTCTTTGTTTTTGAAAACTTTTTAAATGCCACGATTAGGGCAGAACAAAGAATGTAACAGAGATGGACTAACTTCCTCCCGATATCTGGTTAGATACAGATTGGGGGAAGTCATGGTAGTTGCCATAGTTACACAACTTGTGAAATATGTTAACACTTGTGCTAATGCTATCGTGTTTCCCCTTGTAACTGATCCTCCCTATACTATACTTGAAGGAAGCTAAGTATGGCTGTTTTGACTCTTGCTTGATTTTATCGTGATGTTACTATGTTTGTCTTTCATACTTGTAACACATATTTCATTTTGATATTTTCAACATTATGTATGACGGATGCATTTCATCATCGATTTTCATGGTTATTGTATTGATGACAGTGAATGGCTGTTTGTCTGTCCTGGTTAGATACAGGTGAGAAACTGAATAAGGCTACGTTGTTCATCACTGTGTTATAACTGTCTTTACATTTGTTTGTAACTTTAACAAATAAATGTCACTTTCGACCTTCATTCATTTTCAGTGTTCTGTGTTCTGTTCAGTTTTACTGGAGATTTACCAAGGATTTCTCTAAGGTGTTTTTTAGTTCTAAGAACGGACAGACAAACCCATGTACAAAACCACAATTTGCAATATTTAAGTGAGACTCTGGATTCAGGGGAAGAATGGGTTCCCAGTATCTGTATTGATGTAGCTGGTATATTGCTGGAGTGGACTGCCTCTGTGGTCTAGTGGTAGAGCGTCCGCCCGGAGAGCGGAAGGTCCGGGGTTCGATCCCCGACCGCGTCATACCAAAAGACGTTAAAAGATGGTACTTGTTGTTACCTTGTCTGGCGTTCGGCATTAAGGGGCTAAAACAAGGACTGGTCGGCTCAGAGTCAGTATACTGTGTCTGAGTGGGGTATTCATGTTAAAATGCGGCATGGTATCTCAGTGAGCTAGCACTATAAAACGGCATCAGTCCAGACTAGTACAAGCAGCCACACACACACGTGCATGCACGACGCTATATAAGTGCAATAATCTTGGAAGCGACGTTAAACCCCATTTCACCTCTCTCACCATTCTATTATGAAAAATACCCTGGACCCATTCACTGCCAACCTAAGCTTGTTGTAAGAGGAGGGGGCAAGAGGAAGACCTGCATCACTTTGGGCTTTCCTCCCACATTAAGCTGACACACCGTGATATAACTGGAATACTGTTAAAGGCAGTGTTAAACCCAACTCACTCACTGTTGTAAGAATAGACTAAATGGATCCAGTGGTCAGGCTCTGTGACTTGGTTGATTGTATATCATTGTATCTCAGTTGCATTAAGCAGTGGTCATGATGTCAATCACTGGATTGTCTGGTTCAGACACGTTTTATTCCAATCAATACAGACAGACAGATCTTTAATCAGAGCCTCACCTTATGCATATGTTTGTATTTATAGTCCATATAACATGTTGTCATGCATAAGACACTCCATATGGAATTAGGGGTGGTCGGGTAGCCTAGTGGTTAAAGCGTTCGCTCGTCACCCCGGAGACCCAGGTTCGATTCCGACATGGGTACTATACACAGTAAAAAAAGTGTTGCACCCCCACATTAATACGTTTGATACATCACAACATTTAAAACGCCCGACTCTGGTTTTAATGGTAGGTATTCCTTGGGATCTGATGTTAAATGTGTAATGTTTTCGGAGGGAAGATGATCACCAAAACGTAGCAATCAGCACGTGAATTGCATGGTGCATGACATTTGCAGATTGCAGTATCTTCTTAAGCTCAACATCGCCTATAAAAGATGTTCTCTGACAGCCCAGTTTATTGTAACCCACAATGCCGGGTAGACGATTGTCAGAAGCAGTCAAGTGGCAGATTATTGGCCTTCATGGAGCAGGTCTTTCGTTCAAGGAGATTGGCAGAAGAACCGGACATCACTACTCAACAATAAGCCGTTTGGTCAGAAAACTCGCACAAACTAATGATGTAAGGAATCGCAGACCCTCTGGCAGACCACGTAAGACAACAGAGCGTTGTTGAGGGTGGTAAGGCATCATCCATTTGCTACAAGCACAACCTTGAAACGTCTTTGGCTTCCTCGTCAACAGTTCAGTACCCAGACCGTGAGAAATCGTCTTAAAGCTGCAGGGTTGAAGTCCAGAAGGGTTATCAAGCGACCTAAACTCACAGACAACCACAAACGACTACGTCTAGCCTGGTGTAGACTGAGACAGAACTGGAACTTGAGGTCCTGGAGAAAAGTCCACTGGTCGGACGAAAGCAGGTTCCTTCTGCATGTTGTGGATGGCAGAGTGAGAGTATGGAGGCGTCCTGGAACAGCTTATACTGCAAGAAACATCATGCCAACTGTACCATATGGAGGTGGATCTGTTATGGTCTGGGGATGCTTCTCATTTGATTGTAAGCTTGATTTAGTGACCATACGAGGCAACTTGACAGTGGAGCGCTACATCCAAGAGGTGCTGAATCCAGTTGTGGTGCCCCATTTTGACAATCATCCACTGGCCACCAGACCGATATTCATGGATGACAATGCCAGACCACATCGTTCACGAGCTGTGACCCAGGTTATCCACAACAATGCTCTGACGCAGGTTCCTCTGGAACATGAATGGGACATTTTGGGACGCCTGATTTATCGTCGGGACCCTCCTCCACAGAACTTGCGTGAATTGGAAGCAGCATTACACGAGGAGTGGCAGCAGCTGCCCATGGAGCGATTCCAACGTCTGGTGAGGAGTATGAGACGAAGACTTCAAGCTGTGATCCAAGTGCTTGGTGGAAGTTCTCGATATTGACTTACTGTGTTCGTCAAATCTCCATATGACATTCTTACCCTATTGGATGAATTTGGTCACTAAAAATTATTGAGATGTCACCATACTTAATGCGTCTTCGTTGTTCGTTCATTTTTCGTAAAAGTTCAGCATGAGATTATTACATGCCATAAGGTCATGGAATACCCCATTTAAGTTCATTGTATAGACAATACACTGGTTTGTTGGTATACACGAAATCCTGGTTATAATATTAATTCGGTTATCTTTACACCCTTTCAAAACACCCCTCCATGAAAAAGTATAGGGGGTGCAACACTTTTTTTACTGTGTATATGTGTGAAACCCATTTCTGGTGTCCCCCGCCGTGATATTGCTGAAAGCCGCGTAAAACCATACTCACTCACTCACTCACTCACTCACTCACTCACTCACCTTATGGAATTATGATAGTTGTTGAAATTGGGTTTAACGTCGCGTCCAAGATTATTGCACTTATATAGCGACGTGCATGCACGTGTGTGTGTGTGGCTGCTTGTACTAGTCCGGACTGATGCTGATTTATAGTGCCAGCTCACTGAGATACCATGCTGCAGTTTTAATATGAATACCCCACTCAGACACAGTATACGAGCCGACCAGTCCTTGTTTTAGTACCTTAATGTCGAGCGCCAGACAGGGTAACAACAAGTACCATCTTTTAACGTCTTTTAACGTCTTTTGGTATGACGCGGCCGGGGATCGAACCCCGGGGCGGACGTTCTACCACAAGACCACGGAGGCGGCGAATTATGAGAGACTTATCTGTAAGACATATGTACAATGATATACGAACACAATTACATGAGCAATATAGTGAGTGAATGAGTTGGGTTTAACGCCGCTTTTAACAGTATTCCAGTTATATCACAGGGTGTCAGCTTAATGTGGGAGGAAAGCCCGAACTGATGCAGGTCTCGGACGTTTTCCACCTCGGTGAAACCCACGAGCACGGGTATGGTGCTGACAAACCTAGAAACGTAATCGGGGAGAACCGGGATTCGAACCCACAATCATAGGTTTCTGGCGTGTCCAAGGGACGCAACTCTGCACAGAGAATTGCGTCGCCTTAGGCGACTGGGCCACCCATGCCCCCACATGAAAAATATAAGAGGCTTATAAGTCAAATAATGTTAACCAACAAGCAAACAAACCATCAAAGTTGAAGTGACGTCATGTAATGATATCAATCTCTCTTACCACCAACAACGTAACGCAGAATGGCACATATAATTATACCGAACCATATGTGGATTGTCAGAGTGAGTCCTTCCAAAATTTATGACGAAACAGGTTGCACTTCACTGAGCGATCACTGGTAATGTCACAATATATGTGTATTTTATCAAATGTTCTGTAACAAAACGCCCGAGTGCTTATCTGATTTAATTCTGATTAATATATCTGCCACTTCCACTTATGAAGCGACCCGTGAAGATCGGGGTTATACTAGGTGTTCTGCAACCCATGCTTGTCGTAAAAGGCGACTATGCTTGTTGTAAGAGGCGACTATGCTTGTTGTAAGAGGCGACTATGCTTGTTGTAAGAGGCGACTATGCTTGTCGTAAAAGGCGACTATGCTTGTTGTAAGAGGCGACTATGCTTGTTGTAAAAGGCGACTATGCTTGTTGTAAGAGGCGACTATGCTTGTCGTAAAAGGCGACTATGCTTGTTGTAAGAGGCGACTATGCTTGTCGTAAAAGGCGACTATGCTTGTTGTAAGAGGCGACTATGCTTGTCGTAAAAGGCGACTATGCTTGTTGTAAGAGGCGACTATGCTTGTTGTAAGAGGCGACTATGCTTGTTGTAAGAGGCGACTATGCTTGTTGTAAGAGGCGACTATGCTTGTCGTAAAAGGCGACTATGCTTGTTGTAAGAGGCGACTATGCTTGTTGTAAGAGGCGACTATGCTTGTTGTAAAAGGCGACTATGCTTGTTGTAAGAGGCGACTATGCTTGTCGTAAAAGGCGACTATGCTTGTTGTAAGAGGCGACTATGCTTGTCGTAAAAGGCGACTATGCTTGTCGTAAAAGGCGACTATGCTTGTCGTAAAAGGCGACTATGCTTGTTGTAAGAGGCGACTATGCTTGTCGTAAAAGGCGACTATGCTTGTCGTAAAAGGCGACTATGCTTGTCGTAAAAGGCGACTATGCTTGTCGTAAAAGGCGACTATGCTTGTTGTAAGAGGCGACTAACGGGAAAGGGTGGTCATGTTCGCTGACTTGGTTGATGCATGTCATCGTATCCCAGTTGCGTGGATCGATGCTCATGATGTCAATCTCTGGATTGTCTGGTCCAGACCCGATTATTTACAGCCCGCCATCATATGGCTGGAATATTGATGAGTGTGGCGTTAAACAACAAACAAAAAAACTCTTACTTCTATACGCCTAGTAATATAAAGTATATTTTGTGCCTTGACATCAAATGCATGTTTCATTGTCATCTAATAAAGACTTCTTTCTCTTTTCTTTTCTTTTAACAGACAGACAAATTTATTCCGTATTTAGGCCCAATAGACAAAAGTACCTACAATGCACTAATTTCTGCTTCCAGCTGTGAACAACACAGGTAAATGTATGAAGCATACATAAAAGTTCTTACACTGGCCATAGGTGAGGTGAAATGGGGTTTAACGTCGCGTCCAAGATTATTGCACTTATATAGCGACGTGCATGTTCGTGTGTG